GCATTCATAATTAAATGTATTTTTTTTCCTGTTGCTCAACTATAAGAATGAAAGTGTGTAAATGTCCCTTTAAAAACAATACTTTAAAAAAAATATTGTTGATTTGTACATGTTTGGTTTATTATTTGTGCTTTACATTAGCTGTTCTGATATCTGTGTGTGTGTGTGTGTGTGTGTGTGTGTGTGTCTGTCTCAGATGTGGGACTGTGGGAGTCCCTTTTTCCCCTCACTGAGTTTACACATAGTCACTGATCAAACAGCCTCAGTCATCAAACTCAACATCAAACCATAGCATGGCTCAGAGAGACAACAGCGGCCCAGATTTACACCGCACAAAGGAGTTACCACACACACAGACACACACACACACAGACACACATAGACTGGGCATTTGTAGCAAGAGATATTAACTTGTCTTAAAGAGTCAGTTAAGAGATAGTGCAGCTCCTATTTTTTACCTCCAAATTTCATCTAGATTTTTATTACAGTAACGAGTCAAAGCGATAAAAAATGAGCGACTGAATTTATGGAGTGCTTCAGCTGCAGAATTCATAGTTATGTTTTGTCTGGAGGAGCCTGCATCAGTCACATGTCCAACTCAAACTCAATTGAATGTTAATATGGACTTGGAGTGAGTAAATCTCAATCTGAGTCTGAAAAGATGAGTGTCAAGGAACTAGGCTTGTTTAAATGCTGTATAAATGTGTGAAATATTCTTCAATGTTTGATCAACTCGAAGTGTTTCTTTACATCTCGCCTTCTCCACTCCAGTTTGCCCTCCTCTTCTTTTTCTTGCATCCTGAGTGAGTGTTCTGCCAAAGTAAAATGTAACACCAGTTGAGACAGAAAGGCGGTTAAGAATCTTACTTTGTTTGTTGCTGTAAAATAATGATAAACTTTGTGGCTGAGAAAGTTTCAGCATCTGAAAGGTCACTATCCACTTTCACAGCTTTAAACCAGACTTTCTACGACAAAAAATAAACCATGATTGACTGCTTGCAATAGCTGGTGGAGTAGACATATTTCTTTTGCCCAAGATTCATCTGCATTTTGAATAGTCGCTGGTGTACATTTAAGCAGAAGGATTCACGTTCCTAAGTGTTCTTTGTAGTCAGCCGGAGTCTGGGCAGATGTGTGATGTGAGAGCTGGGTCTATCACTTTACATAATTTTAGAAGGAGCTGCGATTTGTTCAAGGTTGCCAGATTTCACATGGTGGACAAAGGGCTGAGATTATGGTAAAATATGTTGCAGATTCCAAATTTGTGTTCTAACCATCAGCTTGCACAGAGACTGACAAAATTGGACCAAGAAGTGATGCAAAAAAAAAAATGCGTGTGCATGAATAATTTTTTTCTATGAATTGACTGAAATGGACTGTGAGTCAGTCCACTATTTGTCTGGAAGTCCTCCAAAATCACTGTTGCTGACAGTGAAGCGACGGCATCCAAAATGGAGGCTCCATTTTGAATGCCGCCGTCGCTTGTCTCTGCCATGGCGAGTACGTGCTTCAGACTGGCAGCATGGCACATTTATGGGCATTCCCCATAAGGTGCCTTTCTGATTGATGGCGCAGCCTCGTGCACCTCCCTCTCCTCACTCCTCAGTCCTGATTTATTCGTCTAGTCTCTGTGACTTGGCACTGGCAGTGCCCACTACTTCTCCTGTGGAAACTCCCTGCGGGCACATTCACTATTATTTGGAGTCCCGATGGGCGAAAGCATCAGACAGAAACATACACGTACACACCCCTCATACACACACAGCACCATCTCATCTCACTCACACTGGGCCTGTGCTAGAGGGCAGGTGAGCCTCCCACTGCCTCCACTCTGAAAGGATCTCTCACCCAGAGGGCTCAGCTGCTCGGTGGGCCAGAGGGGTAAGCGGCTCTGTAAGCCTGCCAAGTGAGGAACTGGTCTGGGTATGCATGAGGCCAATCCTAACACAAACACACGCACATACACACACACACACACACACACACACACACACACACACACACACACACACACACACACAGCCAGTCTGCATGAACCTCGCAGGCTTCTCTCTTTGCCAATCTGCAGTTTATGATCCTTGTCTGCCTGTCAGTATCTTCATAAAGAGATCAACCCAAGTGGTAACGGAATCAACACATAAATAAGACTGATGCAAATGGAGCACTTCACATCACTGTCTGGCGGGGTCATTCTCATATACTTAACATATTAGGCAGTGTATGGAAACATTTAATTATAAAACTTAAATAGGGAGAATTAAACTACACTTTAGCTGCCACCAAAATGTAAAGTGTTTTAAATAATCCTCCAATCACATGCTCCAAAGTCAAACTTGATAGCAACCATGATGGCAGACACATTATCTGTCTGCTGTTAGAGAAAAAGGACATACAACAGAATGCATATTCAGAGGTGGCATAGTGGGTCTGATTACCCAGAGCTCCAATAGGAGTAGGGTCCGCGAAAAGTCTGGAAAGCTTGGTTTTGTTTGTATTTTTTATTTATAAGTAATCAGTGCCATAAATAAATTACAGTTAGCTAAATAAATCTGTTGAAAGGATGAACTTTGTATCAAAAAACAGTGCAAGCTCTCTAAGACCCCTCTCACCCCTTGAAGCCCAAACACGACAAACCGACTTCAGAGAACCAGCAGTAATGAAGGTAGACTATTGCATTGTCTCACATTGTCTGTGTCTCAACCAAAAAGTTGCACATGAACACACTCCTAAAGCCGACGCCATTTAGTCGTTTAGACGTTTTGCGCCAGTGTGAGAGGATATAACTTTCCACACCAGCAGACAGCGGTAGTCTGTATTCGTCATTCAATAAGAGAAAACATCTTGACACTAGTCAGCCAGTCAGCACATCAAACCACCAGCATCCAGCTGAAGAGCTCCACAGCCAGAGAAAAATAATCTTACCTTATGTAACAACTTTGTTTTGGTTTCACTCCCCCTTGACTTTAGCTGTTTGTTTACTTTCCTCACTTCCGTTTTCCTTCTTATGCGCTGAATTGAACTGCTAATCAGTGTGATTTCATTCACTGGCAGCACTGCCATCACCGATTTAACACACTGAATTGGCCCCAAAAAAAAGCTGACAAGGGCCAGCCAGGGGCAATGATGCATGACACACTGCACCGTTGAGGGCAACAGACGCTCACCAACAGCCCAACATTGACTACTGCCTGTTGTGGGAAAGCTCATCTTTTTATTAATATTTCTTATTAATATTTTATTGAGATATTTTAATTACTGCCTTGGTCTAACCTTATGAAATATTTTCCATGTTCAAGATGTTTGTATTATTTTAATTTGTGTTTATAGATTTTATGTTTTTATTTCAGATTATGAATTTTGTGAACTTTTAATCCAGTTTTTGTCATTTTACTTGTTACTTGTATAATCAAGTTTCCTTAACTGATATGTTTCTAGTCAAATAAGCCTGTAGAATGAAATATGGGTTTTCAAATGTAAAACGTCAAGTGTGTAGGATGTAGTGGTGTCTAACAGTGATGTCACAGAGCTGAAATTTCTTGTGTGCCAAGCATGTAGGGGAACTTCGGGGGCCAACGCAAAAATTTGAGTGGCCCTGCTGGTGTTTGGTTTGTCTATTTTGGGTATCTGTAGAACAACATGGAGGACTCCATGGAAGAGGACCTGCTCCGTATGTAGATATAAACAGCTCATTCTAAGGAAACAAAAAAACGATTATTATTTTCAGGTGATTATACACTACAGAAAACTTAGTTATGAATTTTATATACCATTGCTGCCAATAGATGCCCCGAAATCCTACACACTGGACCTTTAAAGGGGAACATCATCTAAATTAAGCATTGCAATGGTATCTCCATGTCCAAGGAAAGTTTGATCAATATAATGGAAAATGGGCTACTCTCTCTCAAAGTCAGAGACCAGATAAGTAAATCTCTAACTTGTGATGTCATCAGGTAAAAACTCTGAAGCTGCTCCATATACAGTGAATTGGAGCCTGATTCTGTGGACCCACAGAACATTGTAGGGTCTTTATTTTGTTGTAGTGTTCTTAGTTTTTAAAAAGAAAATTATTCCACATAGACTGAATCACTGTGATGTCACACTAACACTTCCAGGTAGACAACTAGCAATTGTTTCTGATGACATTTTCAGCCATAATTGTAACATTTAAAGACATATAATTAAACACGGTGGTGCAATGTATGTATGTATGTAGCCACCTAAAAAAATCCCTTTAGGTGGACACTATATTTGGAATATTTTCACTGCGTTACCTCACACACTAGCTGATCGAGGCAGCGATAGACCAACATCTCCCGTGTGTTAAAGTGACTGCTTTTGTGAATGGCATCTGGTGGCTTTAAGTTCCACATCGGAGAGGGCTGTCTGACAGCAAGGTAAAGCAGTGAAATATTCTAAATATAGCGTATACTGGAACATGATGTTGATTTGTTTGTGTGGGCTTTTTTCTAGGTGTCCAAAAAATGAAGCAACTGAAGCGTGTGTGCTCAGCGCTGTTTCATTTTATGTACATGACGTGGGGGTATTTGGAAGTTAATGTGAGCAAACATTGTGATTCAGTCTATACTATACTATACTTATCTAGAGCATTCCCCTGGGTGCTCTCAGTGTCATCCACAACATCTTTCCCAATTCACTGTCTATGGAGCAGCTCCTGTCTTAATACCCTGTGACATCATAAATTTGATTTTTAGCACTTCAGTTTGTGGATTTGAGAGAGTTGTTTATGTCACTCAACTTTTGGCCTTAGACCATAGGGATAACATGCATGAATTTGGAAGATGGGCATAGTTTCCCTTTAAGAATAATAAGAAACCTCAGTAACCTGGTGTGTAACTCAGCTTTAACTGCAGCTCTCAACTTTGTTCATGCTGTGCCGAGGCCCGACTGTGAGGACTTCCTATAGTTTGAGCTGTAGTGTGAGTGAATGCCTACCATCTAGTGGCCGCTTCAGGGAAACATTCAGAGATGCCAGGAGAGACAGTTCAACTGGTCGCATTACTTCCTTTAATAAACTGAACAAAGAAAACACATATTACAAAATATTTTTTTCTTTTTACAGACACATGAAACCATTTTCTCCTCCCTTTCCTTTTCCAAAGCAAAACCAAAAAAGTTAACAGAACCATAGACCATTATTTTTTTTTAAGTGTGTATCATTTTCTTTATGTAGAAAATAACTGCACCAAAAAACCAAAAAGCTTTTGTTGCACGAGTTGGCAGGGAGGCGACGACATATAAGACGAGGCTTTCACAGCCCACCAGGAAAAGCCGGAAAAGTTTTTGTTTGTGTATATATATATACCTTTATAGCTTTATACTTCAACTTGCAGAATAGCATGTGTATTATGGAGCAGTCCATTGAAATGTAGTGGTTTAATCCATATTTGAGACGGGAAGGTGAGTACTACAGGTTTGCTGTATGTAAAGGAAGGAAATGTTCACATGGGCCGAGAACACATCGCAATTCAGTTGATGACAGACAGAATATAATATGCAACAGCCTTTGGGTGGAATTAAAAAGGAATACAGTCCTGCAGATGTACACTGTTGTAGGTGCCATCCAAAGCAGAAACCTAACCCACATTTCCCCACTAGGCCGAGATCATTCAGGGGTCGCTGGGGTCACAAAGGAGGCACAAGGCTGAAAGCAAGGAACTAGCCAGCATGTCACTTTCAATGGTAAACTCATGGTCCTCATCAGTGAGCCTCAAATACACCCATTCGCAATATTTTAGCTTCTGGTAGTCTTCCATCACAGAGTGGAGGACAGTGACTTCACTCTCCAAAACACTGATAACTGTTAGAGGTGGGCACTGCAGTGGACATGACAATCATTTGTTTTGGAACAGAAGAATAAAGAGATCACAGCTGTTTTCTAAGTTGAGTGTCAGCTGCATGGCACTCAATTTGGAAGCTTAACTTCATTCAAGTCAGGACCTTTAGTAGACAGGAAAAAGCTAGGGATTGCAGGTGGTGACTGTCCCTAAATGGACTGTTAAAGGTCAGACCGACCTCCCAGGTCCGAACACTCCCTCCAGTACAACACTTGTTCAGAGGAAACTGGTGTTCATGACCTGTAGAGGCCTTTAATCTCTTTCTTTCAGACATTCATTTTCAAAATCTGTGACTCAACTTTAGCTACCTGCTCATGGTCTTCCAGTGAGTCATTATCTGTAGGTGTCCCTCTGCCTCTCCCTTCAGGCCAGGATTGCTGGAGCCATCCCAAGACACCCAGGTCTGTGTCACCGGGAGTTGAGAGTCAGCGGGCAGCTCCATGGGAAAAGCGGAGGTCCTGGTCTTTAGGGAACTGTGCTGCAGTGGTAGGTGCAGCAGTCCCCAGTCCTGCTGGGGCCTCAGCTGCAGCCGAAGGTTTAGGTGGCGAATCGGCAACCCAGGGCGGAGGGGGCTGTCCCCGGGCCAGAGCATCCACAGCGGGAGAGGGGTCCTTGCTGCGCTGAGGAGCCCCAGCTTCCGAGTCCTGCTGAGAGATGAGCTGGAGCAGGGCAGCTGCTACAGCAGGGCTGATGTCCTGGCTGGGTTGGTTTTCAGACCCAGTCTGCTGGGCATTTCCTTGGAGGAGAGCTGACGGAGGTGGCCCGGGTGGAGAGGGTGGTCGCTGCTCAGTGGATGGAGGCACCTGGTTGGCCTCAAGCGGTTTCCTTTTTGATGCTGCAGCATCTGAAGGGGCCAAACAGGACAGAGGACAAAACATTAGGTATCAAAGCACACTTGGCATATAAATCAACATATGGACCAACTATACTAAAACCCTTAATCATATTTGTCATCTTCTATGTTTCATTTGCAATAACAGATATTAAAAGTGTGTTTTTGTCGTATGGGCCTGACATGACACATAATGTTGACATTCCTACCTTCACCACAAGAGGGAGAGCAGAGCACTATAAATGTATCTTCACATCAAGTACACCACAAGAGCAATCATAAAATATCTACCGGTATTTTTGCAATAAAATTAACTTTGTTAACTTATCAACAGTGCTTAGATATGGTGAAATAAATACTAAAAATATTCAAAGCTAAGAACTGGCCTGTGAAAAATCTACAATCATGGAACTACTCAGGTAAATCTCAATGTTGAAAATAGAAAAAAAAATGTTTTTATTTTGATGTGATTTATCATCACATCATAAAGATTGTTTATTAAACACCATAATGCATTGGATTTAATTACTGTATGTTGTGTGCATGGGTCCAAAAATATTAATGTATGCAAAACAGATGCACCTGTATTTGTTTTTCCTCCAAACAACCACCTTAAACAGAAAGAAAACAATAGGAATAGAAAACTAGGTGAGAAAACATTAGGAAGGGCATGTACAGCTGGATGAACAGAAAGGGTGACTTATGTAGGAGAATTTTAAGTATTATAAAGGTCAGGACAAGATTACTAATTAGGGTTAGTCTATTTTTTTTAATAATCTACAGCAGTGCAAGGCGAACCAATGTGACGAAGTTTTCAGAGGCCTTGGCAGGAGAAATAACCAGAAGAAAACAGGACTGTTACCATTCCAGTGTCAGCAGCATAGTCAATAGTTTTATTCAACTTGCTAATCACATTTTGAACTAATATCTGAGTCAGAGTGAACAGTTTTAAACAAAAAATAAAAGTGTGACAAACCAAAGTTAAAAGAAACACATGCAGGTGAGGTCTAAAGATTCAAAACATTTATTTTCACTTGATAATTTATTAGACTTTTCTTCATAAAAAGGCTGACATTACAGACTGTTTAAAGAAACATCGCTTCCTGTGAAGAATCCATGACACCTGCTTTATCATGAAAATGAGGTGAGAGCACGTGTGGAGAGATGGAACAGATACAGAAACAGACTGTGAGAAAGAAACAAGGAAGTGGGAGAAACGTGGAAGGGAACAATACAGTGTGAACCTTATTTATCTCAAATAAAAAACACGTAACTCTCGTCTGGTTTATTGAGTACCAGGGTCACATGACGACAAATGTTCAACAGCCATTTTGTGAGGTCTGTATTTTTCAATATTTGTGGTCATAAAGGGGGACAATGGTGAGCACGTTTTGAGGGTAACTTTGGTTTCTTTCAACCTGGTCACAAAACAGGCCGCAAAGTAACCACTACAGACATTTGTGCAATGTCAATTTGCCACTGACAGGCTCAGATTCCAAGTGTCTGATAAGATTATGGAAATAATCCCTACAAAGATAGACCTTTTGGTTAAAGACTAAGATCAACAGCCCTGAAATCATTTCATCCAAATAAATGGTAATTTAATCATTGTAAAACACAGTTCATTCAAAGTCGACAGAAACGACTAACAAAAACCGTCTGGGTTTGTCTTCCCGCTGTTCCAACAATCACCAGCTCTGGTTGGAGGTGAATATATGCTGGCTCTATACACATTAAAATCAATCACTATTTTAATGGAGTCTGGTGGTCAGCATTTTCGGGCCTGTTTTTGGTTCAACAAAAAGGATCTTACTATTTAACAAAGGTTTCTCTCTGTAGGGATCATTTCCATGACGTTATCAGGCACTTAAAATAGTAATCTGAGCCTGTCAGTGGCAAAAACAAACACTTTGAGTGGACGTTCAGTGATGGTGCACATATGCTCGGAGTATTTTACATTGCAGCCTGTTCACGGCTGCCGACTGCAGCCCTCTAGCTCAGTACTGGACCAATGTCAAAAACAAACACAGGAAAATAGGGTCCAGGTTAATAAGTACCAAAGTTACCCTTCAGGGAATGTCAGGGATAAAAGAAGGGGTGGGGGGGCGTATGATAAGTCTAACGGCCTAATTCATTTGGTTAATTAATCATTTGTTGATTTCCTCAGGTAGTCTAAATTGTATTTTCAGCATACAGGAATTTTGAGAACCAACACTCAAGTTGGCTTCTGTTTGTTCTCTGCCCTGCTCTCCTCATTCTTGCAGTCCCCAGCGATTCTCAGCTGACCCTGGTTCCTCCTTTTTTTCCACCCTCTAGAGACTAAACTTAGACTTGCCCTTGCGTTCAGTAGTAGAGGCGGACGAACCGCGCATTAGTGCCTCCTCTGATTGGACGCCATTGCTCTCGTCGCCCTGCTCCTCGGTTTGTGGCTTCATGATGTGGCCCAAAATGAGAGCCAGCAGGTTGGCCTGGTCTTCCTGGCTGAGTTGTGGCTCTCCGGATGTCGGTGAGAGTTCCTGGGGCTCGGGAGGTGGCTCTGGGGGCTGGGCCCTGGCAGCAGACTGGGCCTGGTCCTCTGGAGCCCCCTGGTGGTCAGAGGCCTCACTGAGGGCCGACAACGACTGGCTGAGAGTCTCTGGGTTAGAGAGGTTGAGGAGCTGGGCCACCTGGGGCAGGCTGAGGTCCGTCTGTCCCTGGAGGAGGTTCAGCAGTACCGCCAACTCTGTCTGGTTCAACTGCTCTGCAGCAACTCCCAGGCCTGAACACATTCACGCAACCAGAATTCAAACTATGAAAATGATATTCTGTGCAAACAAAAAGATCCATAAACATTTCTTCTACATCATTCTAAATTATTTTTCACTTGCAAGCAGTGCAACAGTATGTCAACATACTGCACTCCGTCTCTGTCAACAAAGGTAACAAGTAAGTACAGTAATAACACGACAATCAGAAAACACTGCCATAAAGGGGCACCCCATATCTTATGTCCATTTGTGATTCTACTAAATGCTTGTGAGAGACAGCTGTTACCTGACAACTCACTCTCTAAGTTGGACGTGGAGGGTGGTTTTCCAGGTGGAGGCGGTGGGGCTCCAGCCGGGCTGCTCTGGGGCCGACTGTTCTCCCCGCTGGAGGTCCCGGTCACATCCTTACGGGGCGCTTTGGGTGCAGGAGCATCCTCAGGCACCCCACTCTGACGTGCACGCCGTCGCTTCTTACTCCACAGCTCGTGGCAGTCCTGATGGTGAGGAAGACTGGAGACGTGGCCGGTAGGAAGACATCCCAAAAACAATAACAACAAAGAAAATAAAATACAAAAAGAAATCAATCAAATAGAAACAAAAGAGATAACTACTTCAACAAAAAGTACTTGCAGAGTGCATTTAATATGTTTTCCCACTATCTCTAGCAATAAGAAATAAACAAAACAAATGAAAGGTGAAAGCAGAGGCCATGGGAATACTGACTCTGGTGGCGGCATCTTGCTGGGCTCAACGTTACTCAGAAAGTCACTGCTGAGAGCCTCCTCTGCCGTGCAGCGCCGTGCAGGGTCAAGGGTTAGCATTCGGTCCAGCAGGTCCAAGGCAGGAGTTGGTAAACTGTGCAGAAGGGGAAAGATTTTTTAACTGCAGAAACAGACGAAGGGGTCCATCACTGTTATTTCGGGGAAGCTCTGCATGGTTACATACAAGGCAAACTCCTCCCGCAGTTGCCGTCTGTACTGCTTCTTGGGTTTCATGGTGTTGAAGAGGGGAAGTTTAATGACGTCAGGCCACACTGCAGGACAGGGACTCCCGCACAGACGGCTGAATAAGAGAGAAAGGACAAGATGGGCTCAGTGATACAGAAAGTTGGGGTGTGATTGGGTCAGCAGAAGTTATTTTTTGAAATGTTATGTTCAGGAAGCAAATGTTTTCTAGGATAGCGAAGGCATGACACACCCTTCTAACTAGCACCCGTTACCTTAATTGGTTGGTAAGGTTGAGGCATGAGAAGTGAGACTGGTTAGAGCCCTGACACATCACGCAACAATCGGCTGTTGTTCAATATTGGGCTGTCGATACGCTTCCGTCACCCTAGTTTTTGCAGCATGTCCTGCACCTAGGAAACGCAAAGTTGCTTTCAGGAAAGGACAGCCTACCTGATGAGCTCCAGCTGTAGAAGTTCCTGGTTCGCCTGGAAGATGGGCTTCTTCTTAAAGAGCTCTCCCAGAATACACCTGAGGCGCGACAGATCAGGTAGAGGTGATTAGAAAATATACACATACAAACATAAAGCTTAAACTTAGTGTAAAACACTGTGTCAAAGCGAAAATGTGTACCAGAATCACTGTCAGACAGGACTGTGACCAATAAGTCCTTTTTTGTTTTTGAAGGATACATTTCCAATGGCATACATCATATAAGAAAGACTTTTCTCTCAGTTTCCGACATGAATAATCATAGACAAAAAAGATCCCAAAGTGCATATGAACACAAAACACAGTGTGACAGTTGTTTGGAAATGTATGACTTGTAACCCTTATTTCCATTACATAAAAACATATCACTAAACATATTAACCATAGTATCAGTATACCATCGTGGGTGGGAAGTTTTCACCAGGTCAGAGGATACTGAGTAAGAAGACATCCATACAACTTTATAAAACAAGACAAAACAGATAATGCAGCTTTGATTTTTTCTCATTTAAAGTTTATAGATTATTAAGTGACATTGAAATGAAAATGTCAGACTCAATGCCTATTTTCCAAAGCAACTAGTCCAATATAAATGAAAAGGTTGCTTCAGCTAAAAAAAACCTTTAGTCTACTTTTCCATTAGGTCATGGAGCCTACCTACATGAGAAAACAGTAAAGACAGCTCAGTTTAGACCAAAAATGCCCGACAAGACAAGTTGAAACTTGCGACTATTTGCAATGTGCTGGTCTGCAACGTTCTAAAAACCTGCCGCTTCAGACCAACCCAACTAGACAAGACAGCGTATCGTCTCCATAGCGAAGACTCTCTTTACTTTGGTTCTGATTTCCAGCTTATCAGGCTCATGTTGTGGCTGGATTTAAATTGTAGCTTCTTAAAATATGAATGAGGATAGTGATAGTCTAATACTTTCCTACAGTTGCATTTCTAGTAGAGATGAAACATCAGAAACATAAAAAACAATCTGAGCTTCAGACTGACAATATTCATAATAGATATGACACAATAATTTACATAACCAGCGCCGATTAATCAGCCAATGAGTGTATACAGTGGGCAGCAGCAGCAGCTACCCACCGCGTGACTCCAGCACACCTTTAGGATGGAGACAGACATACGTGTTAACAGCCACAGGGATGTAAATGAGACAGACTTGGGAAGGAAGGAGAGCTTGTGTCAAGTGAACATGGCGTCTGATGACAGTTTGTTACTGACTTGGCCAGCTGACTATACTAGAAGCTGACTGGCTGTTAAAACAGGTGACACTCTAAGCCCCCCCGCTGACGACTTGACAAGTTCAGTCGCAGGTGACACCATCAGCTTGCTTGAGTCGAGCTGAGACCAGCCAGTTCACACTGCTGCAACTTTTCTCTCTGATTTTCTCTCTTATCTCTTTTGATCTGAACTGGGCTTAAAGTGAAAATAAAGTCGTAACGAACAGATGTGCTACCATGACAGTGTCATACTCACCCACAGCTCCATACATCAATGGCTGGAGAGTATCTCTCCTCTCCCAGAAGGAGTTCAGGGGGGCGGTACCATAGTGTGATTACTTTATTAGTGTACGGCCGACTGGGAGCAAGAAAAGAGAGAAGATAGTGAGACTCAGTACAAATAGATCCGCTTTAAACTTTAAAATGCATTTAGGTGATCCAAACATACTGTGTTGATCTCAACCAGTGACTCTGCAGCATTTTCCAACTACTCAGTTCGGTCACCTTTCTCACATGTTGATCCTGATAATTACTTACATGCTTTTTGATTATTTGTGACTTGAATCACAGATTTGATGACCTCAGACTCATCTTGAGAAAATCATAAAAAGACTTAAAACTCAACATGAACTTTAATACTAATACCTCATGACTTCACCTGGACTACAGCCTTTTGATTTGAAAATACTTGATAGCTTCTCTCACGCCCAAAGATTTAGTTCACATATAAAAACTACACAGTGGTAAAAAAAAAACGAATTGCAGTATGCAAAACATGCAAGTTGAAAATTATGTCTTTTGGCATTGGAACTTGAACAAAGAATGTTATGTCAAAGCGAATATCACATAGTTAGCACTCTAATAGTAAGCTCAGATTAGTTTAACAACTAAGTAACTTTTTAACAAGCTTGTTTTAACAAATAAATGCAAGTTTTAAAAAGCAGTCATGATTTTGAAAATGCAAAATTGGCATAACTTTTATTGAAAAGTGCATTATGACTTGGACTTGGGACCTGAGTGCAAAGACTTAAGACTTATTTGTGACTTAGGTCCCACCTCTGGAAGTTAGATATTTGCAAATATTACACTTAAACTGACTCTAAAAAACTACTCTAAAAATCAATTTCTTTACACTATTTTAACTGGATGTTAGGAGAGCTTTGAGTTGTTAATTAGCTACTTTGCCTCATTACCTTGACATTTTTCTGTTGTGGGTCTTACTGAAACTTGGTTAAATTAATCTCAAGTGTCTCTCTACTCAATACACAGCAGCAGTCTTTAGACCAGGCAGTGGAGTATCCCTCTATGTTATAAGTCTATTTGGTACTCTGTGCAAAAAGATTTAGTAAGTGGTAATCCTAATACAGACGGATATGTTGAATCAATTTTTATTGACTTATTAGATGAACCTTGTTTTCTAGGACATGTTATCATTGGCTGTGTGGACAGACCACTGAGCTGTAATGTTAACTCTTTTGTTGATCAATTGCGAAATGGCTGCAGCTCATATCTGAGCTCTGAGTGGACCTTTGCTCAACATGGACATTCACAATGAGTGCAATCTGGGTGCTGTCCTTCTGCAGGACTATGGTGTACAGATAATATCCCTGAGAGTCCACAAACGCCTCACACTTAACTGCTCTGTAACGTAAAGCTTTTAACACTGGTCCCCAGCTCAGCTCAGCTCAGCTTTGAAGAGAACACTTCTGTCAGAGTGCAATCCCTGTTTTATATTATGGCTTAAGGCACGTCAGATTTCTAAGACTTTTTAAATGCCACTCGTAATGAAATTTAAGGCAAATTTTACAATAATCAAAACCGAAAAAAAAAAAACAACAGATAATAAATAAACTTTAGTGACTCGTTACTAATATATCAGACTGCCTCCATATTTTTGCTGCTTACCATTCTATAAAGATCAAGCAAGTTATTCCAAATAATTTCTGAAGTAATTTTAAGATGTGCCATGTGAAAAGGTCCGTTGATAAACCATCTGGTATTGAACAGGATAAATTGGATATCATTTGTAGAGTAGCTATGCCCCCAGCGCTTTCCGTGACTGGGATCTCTCTGAAGGACAACAACGTGACAGACACCACCATCTAGTGGAGACTCATTGTAAATGAAGAGGAAAATCCATGCTCAGGTTTTGGTTTAATTACTGCTTCAATCATCATAATTAATCATATAGTAAAATTAGAGAAACACACAGATGAGGTCTCATATAATAACAATATGTAGATGGCAAACACTCTTGTCTTACCTTTCCTCTGAATTGTAAAGTCGGGCCAAACCAAAGTCAGCCAGTTTGATCTGACCTCTGCATGAAGAAACACACAACAAAAAAAGAAGCTCTGTCAACAATGAGAATTATAGTTACCAACCCTGAAACACAAACACAACACCACTCATCTGCCTGAGCCAGGCAGGTTATTTTGACTAACTAGTTTGCATTTAAACAAAACAAAATTGTGAAACTTGCTGTTGTTGGGGAGATCCAAAATCTATTTTTGGTCTGATTCAGGTTACTAAATCCTGATATAAGCATCACTTCAGTAATATTAAACTGAATGAAAAATATATGCTGCACTTTGAGAAGGTAAAATCCAAATTAAATTGACTGTTAAAACTCAGCAAATGACAAGACAGGTGCAGTAACAAATGTCCAAACACCAAGTGTCTACACACAGTCAGTTGTACAGTAGTGGAGCAGAGAGTGAGAGCAAATTACAGCGTGGCTCTAAATGCTCCATTCCACAACAAAACCTGCATTTAAGCAACTTTTTATAAGCATCTTAGCTGTTGCAGCTTATGGAGCTTTCCCTTGCATCCTGTAATGTTTGTAAATTAGATGCAGGGCTGTACTGAGCAAACATCTGTGAGAAGTTGCTGTATTCCTACATTGCTGTTATTTGAAGCACCCGGTTAGTAGCTAAGTAATTAGCTTTGCTGCTGACGCACCTCAAAACGCTTGCATTCTGATCATTAAAGTTAGCGTTCGACTGCTTTTGTTCTTGAGTTTACAGTATTACAGCTGCATTTAAACCATCTGCGGGAATGTTCCAAGCTGTTGATGTGGATAGTGCTGCTCCTAGCTGATATTGTTAACGTCCAGTTGTGTGAGGCAATCAGAGGTAGTAAACACATGAATAAAAAGTAGATCTGGCAACCTGTTGGCCATACTGACCCATATAAAGTCACTTGAAACAGCTGTTACTGCTGAACAACAGCAACAAGTAAAGCCTTTGCTGCTACTGCAAATGAACCTCATGTCCTCTGTTTATTACCTGTTGTTGAGCAGTATGTTGGAGCATTTGATGTCTCGGTGCAGGAAGTTGTTCTTATGGCAGTAGTCCAGACCCTCCATCAGCTGCCGCATGAAGCTGCGGACGTGCTCGTGGGAGAACTGGACAAGGCCCGACTCCAGCAGGCCCATCAGGTCGTGGTCCATGTACTCAAACACCAGGTAAAAAGCACCTGAAACAGCAGAGGGAAGATGTGTTCAGATATCAGACACACAATTATGCAAGTCCAGAGGTTAGAGAAGTGGTCTTGTGACAAAAGGGTTGCTAAGTACTTTGACCAGCTCTGTAAATTTAACCTGGCTTAAAGTCAGTGATTAGACTACAATGAGTATTCGCCTGAAACTGTGCAACTATTGTGCTTTGTCACAAGTGCATAGCCAGCTACAGTACAATGCGATGTGTATTTTCCAATCTGAAAGTGTAAATTATCGCTGCCATTAGCATCAGCTCTATTGACAGGGGGTTTCAAAGGGTACAGACAACCCCAGCCCAAGGCCCAGGAGGGGCCCATGCAATGCTCTATGGTTGACCCTTAAATGGGATCAAGTACAACAATTTACTTACTGACTTATATCACTGACAATATGAATTATATGTATTTACATTACAATTACATTTGTTATAATTAAAACACATTTCCACTTGTCATCTGATACCCCAGCCCCTGCAGTTATTATGAAAATGGTACAACCGAGTCTCAACAGTCAGATGTGCAGAACACATGTGTGCCTCACCAAAAATCTGGGCAATGGCCAAATTTCTGGCACAAAAAATGTGTAAAGAAGCACCAGGTATGACGGGCATAGCTGAATGTGGCAAGACTAAGGAGCAAGGCAGGTTAACATATAAAACCACTGTTGCGGGGTCAGTTTTAAAGCTAGAGTGAAGATACTGGGATCATATGAAACTGGACGACCTAAGGCATCCACTGGCACCGCTCATGCTGCAGTGGGTGTGGATGAAGGGCAAAATTTGGAGTTTGTACCCCTGTCAGTAATTGCTAATGGCAAGACTGGGCATCACTGCTCTCTGTAGGTTGAAAGCCTAAAAGAAAGGCTGCTAAAGTGAATCACCATCAGCCCTTTTCACACAGAGATGGTGTTAAAGGGCCGCCACGAAGTCTCCTCTTTATGCCTCACAGAACCAAACAATGGTGGCATCATACTGCTCCTGCATAATTTTAGACAGCATGCCAGCATCGTAGAATGTAAAAAGGCGTGACAGGCGTGACATGTAAGACAACAGCATCAGCCTCTAGTGTGACATATAACATGTGCGCCAGCAGTGCGTTACAAACAATAACAATGGCATAACATGGCAATAACAGTCATTTACTGTCCCTGTTAAATGGAGGTTGATCTTGTCCTCTGCTCGGAGGGTAAGGAGCTTCAGGACCTCATTGTTTTCCCAATTTGCTGACTTTCCGGGCACCGTTCTTCTTCTTTCAGTTAGAAGCTAACAGCTACTAGCAGCTAGAACTACTAGTATTAGTTAGCAGCTACTTTTTAAATCTCCCACGGAAGATCGCATACATAACACGTCGTGAAAACCTCACACCAAACCTGTCCATGATCCCTTCCTGCCAGCTGTCCCGTTTTTACAGACCTAATTTTGGCGCTGTTACTACCTCTGTTCCCCGCTCAGAGGCCAGCCAACTCTGTCTCCACCAATGCTGCATTCGTACCTTTTATACAGAGCAATGCGGAGTAACAGGGCAATATTCCTGCTTTTAGCAGGCAGTGTAGAAGAGGGTAGTCTTATCACATTAATTTCATCTGCTGCCGAATAACCAAACCAAATGTAGTAATTATATCACTCCCAGTTTTGGGGGATTTTCTATGTGAGTGAGAATGGTTTCACTTAAAATCTGAGTTACTAATGCTTCTGATGGTGCCAAACATTTTACATTACTAATGTCTGCAAAAAATTGAAGTAAAACTATTATTTCCAATACATCTATCAAACTCAGTTATACAAAACATACTTGAGACAAGGCCTATAACCTGATACACTGCAATTTAAATTCACCAAAAAAATTCACCTCAAATTCTCGATCAATTTATCTTAGACTGACTATGATTTGATACTTTTAACTGTACATGAATTTAAATAATTGAGTTATGGCAGACAGTATCTAACTTATTCAATGCAAAATGTAAGTAGTATAACAATCTGTGTTTTGGGCACAGGAATGTTTTTGCATCAAGCAAGTCTGTGGTTTTTAAACACAAGGCACCGTCATACAGGTCTGTCTTTTACATGGTAAATAAGTGAGTTTCTCTTCAGACATTTCCGTGGTATGGTTCATCTGATTATCAATACAGCCCTGAGCTGTGTGCTCAATGGTAGTGAAAGGAAAATCAACATCATGGCAACCCTCCTTTCAGACATGTTGCATTTCACAGCTGGTGATTCAACTTGACAGCTGTTGTAAAACTTGTCCTACGTGTCACTGATTATCGTCAGAAGTACAACATGTCTGAAAGTTTCAGTGAGACAGCAGTGGAGCAACACTGTTATTTTTCAGTATTACCCAGCCCTGACAGATGATAACTAATCCTCTTACCTTTGTCCTTTTTAAAGTCAAGTGCATCCTGCTTGTCAGTGACGATCTCCTTCATGTTGACAACACTGCGGTGTTTGAGCTGCCGCAGGATCTTGATCTCTCTAATGGCTGTGATGGGGAAACCCTCCTTTTCATTGTCCAAACGCACTTTCTTCAAAGCCACCAGCTCACCTGCCATGTAAAAAAGAGTAGTTAAGAGAACCTGTGACAGCAAGAATTCGGTTTCTGCTTGTATTAAACATAAAACACATGAGAACACTACAGAGACTACATCCAGGTAATATTCCCTTACCTGTGTCTTTGTCCTTGGCCTTGTACACCTGGCCGTAGGTGCCTTCCCCTATGATGCCAATTATATCGAATTTATCTACACAGCGTTTGCCCCAGTCACTCTGGGTGTGTTTGCGCTCACCATATCGTGGGCAGCAAATCCTGTAGACCATCAAAAAGAAAACAAAAACAGATTAGACTTGAAGGGGGATTAAAGAAAAGGAAGAATGGAAGTGGGTGAGAAATAAAGGAAACTGACTTTGGTCTCTTCTTAAGGACTGCCTGGGGTAGCGGTGGGGCCTGGCGGATGGGGGATTGTGGGGGCGAGGATTCACCTCCAAGCAGGGTGGGCGGCAAAGGAAGGTCGATGAGGGATGGCCGGCTGCGAACTTCCTTCTCCTTCCTGGATAGCCTCTGAGGAGGGGTGGACTTCTTTGGACTAACAGTGCCAAACAATACACAGAGATTAGAGAAAAGTGTAATTGATTAAAGACAGAGGAGAAGCAGGCATTAGGTATGTACTTAAAAAGCTCGTTGTTTGTTGTCAAATAGTTGTGCAGAAAAAACCATGTAATTCTATGGGTAGGACAGAAAAGAGCATGAGCCTTCAAGCGTACGGTTGTGATAATCTATAATCACACCTATAACTTAACTCTCACTCTCTGTTTAGTAAATGTTTATCACAGGGGCTTAACATGCAGGAGTTGAAGTACAGTAAGCCCAAAGGAGAATTTGTGCCAATCAAGTGTGTCAGTTTGATCCAGATGTGTGCTGTTCCCTTTTATTATAGTATGACAATAATTATCATTAAAAAAGTACTGTACTGCTGGAATGACACAATCTTTTCATAAAACTGCCTATGCAGTAGAAAGATGGAAACACTTTTGAAGTTGGGGCTCCACGATGAGAGAAAACAGGAAAAGGGCTGTGGTGTTTGCTTTTGCTCTAAAGCTAGAAAACCTACAACTACCAGAATGCACTGCGATGCACCAGTGTAATAAATGCTCCCACTGGTGGGTGACATAATGCAAGCTCATGCATTTTTACAATAGGGCAAAAGCGCTTGTAAAAATCTTGAATTACAGCTCAACAGTAGGCTAAAATGTGCCCCGTACAACATCTGAGGTGAAAAATAGGCAACACAGTGACAGAATCTTAATATTTGATCAATATTGTTTAGTTTTACCGTTTGATCTCATTTTTTTCAGTCTCTGTTTTCACAAAACAGGAACCAGTATGGCACCCCCTTCCTGTTATCATATTATAGTCAAACAGTGCACTAAAATATGTTTCTGGAGATATTTTAGGAGGGAAATAGGCAATACAGTAAGAGAATCTTGGTTTGTATTTTATCTACACTGCGTAGTTTTACCATTTGATCTGAGTTTGAGAGAGGAAGTGAGAGAGAATCAAGTCTCTCGATCCACTTCTATACTCTGTGTTCGTGATGGCAGGCACACAAAAATGCGAAGGAAACTATCTGTACTTTGAGCAACACACAGAGCCAGCGAAAATCTGCTGAATGACATGGAACATGATCTGAGAGTTGAGCAGGGAGACCTGGTAGGACAGAGGGATGTTTTCCATAGTTCATTAACACATACTACCTACACTGCCATAATACAAAGCTCGTTGAAAATTGTCTGTTGTCTAAAGGAGGCAGAATTGATACCATTTCGTCACCATGAGTTACCAAATCTAGGGGATATCTTGAAATGTCTTACTCTTACCTGACATAAGTGACAACAAAAGAAAAAGGTGATGACTTCAATAGTGTATCATGATGCATGTACTGTGGGCTTTATTCTTAAGAGCACAGATGAAAGCTGCCAAGAATCTGACTTTCACTGCCTTGAGACAAGTGTCCAGTGTGACTCACCTGTCCTGAGTGTTTCCCAGCAGTGCAGGTGGTAAAGGCAGGAGAGGCAGAGTCGACGTCTTGTGGAACGGGATCTGGCGTGCAGGGCTGCGTATAGAAGCCGGCGCTGGCGATTTGGCCTGGGATGTGGTGGGTGGTGTAGGAGGCTGAATAATCATTTCTGCCTGAGGTGGAGGTGGTGGAACCTGGGTGGCTGGAGCAGGTGGCATAGGAGGAGAGGGCTGAGGAGGGGCAGGAGAGGAGGTGGAAGAGGAAGGTGGAGGTGCAGTAACCTGATCTTCTCCACTAGGAGCGTCCTGGGGTAAGGGTGCAGGTGGTGGTGGGGGCAGAGGTTCTGCTGTTGCCAAGTCTTTTTCTGGCTGGGGAGCCGCGGCTTTAGTGGGCCGTGAGGAGGAGGAGGAGGAGGAGGAGGAGGAGGAGGGGCCTGCGGATTTACGTGTTGATGGAGGAGGGGAAGAAGAAACACCACCACCACCACCACCGCTACTAGCACGAGCAGCTGCCTCAGCAGCCTGCCGTTCCTTCTTCCTGCGGCTCAGTTCTGCTCCCAGGCTTGAGTTAAGCGGCAGGCGGGTGGAAGGAGGGGAGCGGCTAGTTGGCCGGCTGCTGTGGGAGCTGGCCCCCGCTGCAACAGAGGAAGTGTGCCTCTTGCTTCGGGAACGAGAGGAGGAGCGACGAGAAGTTGAGTAGTGCAGAGGGGAGCGACTCCTGGAGCGGCCAGAGCGTCTAAATAAAAGAAATGCTTTTTTAATGTCATAAAAAATGCCATATACATTTCACATTCCAGAGCACGTTCCTGACCTCAGAGAACAGGATACAACACGTTGCATGCTTTTTGAAAATATTCACAAAAGGACCATAGTTATTAGTAAATTGAAAAGCATCTTTTATCGCAAAGTAAAATGGCTGTTGATCACTTTTTAATGAAAATCATGTTGACCTTTTGATATGGAAGGTAACAGAAGTTCATATAGACATATGGCCAAGAGCGGAAAAGACTTTGACAGACTCTGAAGATATACAGCTTATTCCTTTGACTCCAGTACAGTCACAGATACTCACCACTGTTTTACCCCAAGTCACAACAGATAACCATTACTCTTCTGTTGGTGCAAAAAATAGTCTGTCCACTGCAACATAAAATTTTAACTCAAAAGGGGCATCTCTGTTCCTTCAATACTTACTATACACAGTACATATAATTTAATCCTGCATCACTAACATTTTGCACTGCAAAATAAAACGGCTAGTGTTAAACCATGCGGTCACCTGTCTGTCTTGACATCCTCCATCCTTTAATGTTCTCACCCTTTGGCTTTTGTCTGTGTTGCATAGGTAAATAGAGGACTCTTAAAGCTAACTTCCTTTTAAAAAGGGAATATTTTGCTGGAGGGAGAGGGGCTCTGCGTGTGCAACAGGTTTGCCTGCCTTTAAACCTACAATGCAGGTTGCTCATATCTGTTTAATCTAATAGTCAAATAAGTAGTAACCTTGATCACGAAACTTAAAGATATGTGTGACTATGAAATATACGTATATGTAGACATAGATGGGTTGATAGGTAAAATGGTGTTCAATCCATAAAACAATTGTGATATTCTACACTTCCTCCATCAGCATGTGCGTGTGGTTGTAAGATATTTAACTAATCAGAACACATTCCCCAAGATTTTAAGGGCACCCTAAGGTGTATGTACTCACCGAGACATGGGGCTGGTGCTGGAGGACCTGCGGGTACCATAGGGACTGATGGAGCGTCTCCTTGAGTAGGGGCTGCTGTCCCTCTCGTAGCTGGAGGACCTGTGCCTGCTGCCATATGGGCTCTCTGATCTCTGCCTGCTGCGGCGGGACATGTCCCCGTATGGACTGGGACTCTGCTGGGCCATCCTCCGCTTGGAGTAGCCGTCATCCCCCTGCTGGCCATAGCCACTGCCCTGCGGACTCTCACTGCCGGCCCCTCTTCTAGGACTGGGTGAAAGAGCAGAGCTGGTGCCCTTCCTGCGAGGGCTGCCCCCTCTCGAGGACTTGCCCTTAGGGCTCGATTTGTGGCCCTTGGAGGACTTACGGTGGCTCCTGTCTGCTCGGTTCCTCTGGGAGGAGCTGCGGCTGCCCTCCCCTCGGCCCTCTTTGCGCTGCTGCTTGTCTTTCCGAGACTTCCCTGAGCGGCTGCTCTCCTTACTGCGAGACGAGGATGTGGAGGAAGTGGTGCTACCTACACTGGCTGCAGGCTGTACCGGGGTGGAGAGCATCAGCTCCCCACGTTTAGAGTCACCCTCCGTCTGCTGGCGTTTGGATGAGGGGCCCGAGGAGGACACCTTCTCCTTGCTTTTCCCAGAGGTGCCTTTCTCGCGGTCTTTGCTGCTCTTTTTTCTGTAACCACGCTCACCATTCCCAGAGTCTCTAACTTTATTAGGGTCCTTGGACTTTTTCCGGGGGTGTCTGTTGCCCCTGTCCTCTCTCTCGGCTTCTCTGTCGATATCGTCCCTATCGTAGTCAGGTGAGGGCTCCAGTCGGTCCGCGCCCCCCCTCTCTGAAGGCCTCGAGGACGGTGGGTCCGAGAAAGTGTCCGAGTCCGAGCTGATATCATCGTACTCCACCAGAGGCTTCACCGTGTTGACACCAGGTGGCGCCGTATCTCCGAGGGTAAAATCTTCGGGTCCCGGTGCCGCCGAGGACTCCCGATTATGTTTGGTTGATTTATGCCGTTTGCGTTTTGAAGAGGAAGAGGACATTGGAGACTTTAACTGCACCCTACCGTCTTTGCTCGCCTTGTCTCCCGCAGAGGTATGGGTCGAGGCCTGGGTCTGGTGTGGCACACCGCTGTTGCTAGATTCCGGCTTCCTCTTGGTCCCATGGTGTCGGTCCGACCCAGGCATCCCTCACGCCGGCGTCGGTAACGTTACCTCTCCTGCGACTGGGCTTCGGTGGTCCAGGCAATTCATTCACAGGAGAACAGCAACTACTCCAAATGCCAGAACAAAAGTGTTACCAAGCAAAAACAGGGCAGGAAAATACACAAAATAAACACACTAGGCCGCTCACGTCCAGTCCTCCTCAGCGCCAATTCATTCCACTGAGATCGCCAGCATAGTTCGTCAAAGCAGAAAAATGCCACGGTGGTTTTCCAGTGCTGTGAAGTTTGTACTTTGAATAAGTCAGTGAATGAAAAAGATCCCAACGAAACATCGGAGCATTGTGGTGTCGTCTCCGTCTCAATTTAGCTAGCACCGCTAGCTAATGCTCGGCGGCTAGCGAGCTGTCTCGTAAAAAAGAAAAAGTCCCTTTGTGAAAGGTGTCCTTGTCCGGTGCCAAGTTAAGTAAAGGTGTTTTTATTCCACAGATTTACGGTCTTAGCATTCAGAAACAAGCTAATGCTTTCATTAAAAAGACGCTCGTTTCTCGAACAAAATGAAAACTTGACCCGGTTGGTACGTTACTGTTTACATGTTCCCTTTAATGTAAGTTTTATCCCCTATGAATTCAATATTGATTAGAAATCATAGTATTTTCGTGTGCAGTAGATGTTCCAGTTTATTATCAATGGCTCTGGGAGTCAACCAGGCCTATATTTAGGGCGATGCTAGTGGATTTAATATCATCCACAGCCCTAGTAGAAGGAGACTACAAACGCCATTGTGGCTCCTGTGACTAGCAACTTCTGCGCACAGCGGAATGAACCGGAAACCGGAACGCTGTCAATCTTGTACGTATCTTAGCAACGGCCTATCACAGCACACAGCCCTCCTACTGTAGTCGTGGTCGCGCGCCAGCAGCACAAAATGGTCAGAGAGATGCATCAATCTGTGCAAGTTAGAAAATAATGTGTTAATCAGACAATTATTACAGGGTTTTGTTTGCAAGAAAAGAACACAGTAATGGCCTCGGAGAAAACGGAAGTATCGGCATGGTGGGTTTAAAATTTTAAAAACGATAAGGCTGGATTACCAGCAGGCAACGTGGGCACCTGCCTTGAGGCCCTGAGAGCTCCAAGCTTTCTGTTTGTCATGGTTTGTGCTACTTTAACTGAAATATGTTGGGGAATAATATGCACCTCTGAAGTACAGTATCCACTGACATGATAATAGTGGGTTCCACTTTGTTAATTCTGCTAATGTTGAGGTCTTGTCTTGAGGAGGACCCCTGTGACACAATCTAGGTTGAAAACCCTGCTTATCTGATTGCAGATTTCTATATTGATGTCTTTAATCAAATAACTCCACAGCAGCTCTGGGGCCAGGTAATCTAGCAGATAAAGCACAGAAACCATAAGTGTTTTATGTGATAAACAAATCTCTTATACTGGTCTCACAACTCAAGTATCAGGTTAGGTGTAGTAGAAACCACTTAAGTCAAACTTAGCATAAGTATAACAAACACTGGGATAATAATAATAGTTTTTGAGGATTTTTATTTTTTCAAGGAACTTAAGTTCTTTTCATTAAAAAATAGAAAAATGTAACATGCATTAAAACATAAATTAGTTGAACAAGGAATATGTAATAGCATATGTAATCTGTATTTGTACTTTAAAAAAAAACACATTCATGCACACTTAATAGGCTTCTTTTTTGGCAGATTTACAGTTTCCTTCTCCCTGAGGCTTTGTAATATTTGCTGTTTGGTTGTTTTTACACCATACTTTTTTTATGCAGGACGAGGATGTTAAGATGGTAAATATAGCCTGTGTTCAGGTCTTCACTATGTCATTATCCTCTGATATGCTTTTTTTTAAGTTTATATCTTGAATAATACTCTAAACTTTAAAAATGATTTTATGTTGTTTTCTTGACAGAAATGAATGAGATATTTAGCCAACTGTATATCTTTTAAAAGCACAGCTACAGCTTTGGCGACCCCCAGTGGGGGAAGGGACACCCAGTTTGGGAACCAGTGATCTAGTTAAAGGAAAGACCTAAATGCCTCTCTTTACAAATACTCTTACAAGACTTTATAAGTCTTTCCTTTGGGCTTCGTAAGTGAGTTAAGTCAAGTCGATTATTATGGTAGCTGGAGTCAAACTTCACACACCTATTCTATAGTGGATTTGTGCTGTTTCAGCTGGGCTTTGTATAACAAGGACAAAAAGCCAAGAATTGCATATGCTCACTTACCAAGTAAACTAAGTTTAATGACTCTTAAACTAAATAAATAGGGTGACAACATTTAAATTAGTTTACACAAATTAGATTACAAAAACAAGTGTCTGCTTTGTCAGTTCACCATCATATGGAAATAAATTCAACATGTGATGAATCTCATAGGATATTACACTGAAACCACACATTATTTTAATTAAGCATTTACTTTCTAAAGACAGAGTAATAACTTTACATGCAGCAGCAATAAAACAATTACTGTAGGTAATGTTTCTGTCAAAAAGCATTTAAAAGAATGGAAATAACGAAAATCTTTTTTGTAGGTGAGAAAGAAATAAGGGGGTTCTCAGTGGACAACGTATAAGGCCCCTCAGTTTTTAATGTGGCACTGCAGACGACATCCAAGCTGTGTTCCCCAGTATGATTACGCAAAATGACGAGTTGCTTTCCTGGCTGCCGATTGGATGCGCTGTTTAATGGGGCGTGGTGGAGAATAAAACCAGGAAGTGTCGTTTCTTACAGTAGTAACAAAGTTAGAATGTATTTTCGAGAACAAAACATGAACCAGAATAAAGTTAATACGCATGCAAACTGTAAATGTGTCATAAGAGGAGCAAACCCTCCGCTTGTGTGCTTGTTACAGACAAAATTAGGCTTTGGCCTACAGTTCAATGACAGAGCCTTCACGGAGAAATTAATAGATTATTAGAGATTTGAAAAATTAAGATGTGGGTTATTTGTTGTTGCTATTCCAGGTAGGCTTCAGCTTTATATATTCTCGCACACCCTTAATGGTTTCTATTTTTCTTACGCTGTGTTAAAATCTACCACCACCTGGGGACTATTTTTTTAATAATAAAAGTAATATTTAGGCCAGGACCTGTTGCCTGTAGCCATGTATTCGTGCTACGTGAGCTGTCAGAAGGTTGACACCCCACTTTGATATTTATGTTAGCTCCTGTGCATGTACTGGGTCCACACTGCGAGCTGTGGTTAAAGGAACAGCCAACAAGTGAGTAAGCCTGTCGTGTGTTTTTTTTCTCTGTGTGTGTGTGTGTGTGTGTGTGTGTGTGTGTGTGTGTTAGGGCAATACATGCCTCTGCTCAGCATCATTATATTTATTATTTCTAAGTGATGTAGGCGTAGTAGCAGCTCCATTTTAGGCTGCCAGGTCCTATTCCTGTCGGGCTATTGTGTGGATGGATGGAAAGCTGTATAGGGGGAGGAGGAGGAGGTAAGGGCGAAGCCAGCAGATAAGAGAGCTGGCTTATTGGCTGGCTGCTGCCTGTAGCTCATATTTTATCAGAAACCAGGCTTTGCCGTTTGTGTTACAGGCCAAAAAAACATCGCACCCCGGGAGCTACCGAGAGGACGGTAGCATGATAGTCGTGGAGGGGAATCGGCAGGAAGAGGGCCCGTATCTGCATTTCACTTCGCCTACACCAAGTTCATTGAGTCGGTAACCAGCGTCCCGACATGGGGAAGGAGGTAAATGGTGTTTCCCGGAGCCGGTTTGAGGTGAGTCTACCACTAATATTACCTGACAGTCACTGATACACATCATACACAGCAGTTAAACACGTTAGGATATGGGCCTACATAGTGACTGTCGCTGTATTTATTGTAAAACTACGCTTATGGTGCTGTGGATGCAGCTTCCGCAGTCAATGTTTGGGATTAGGTCAAACGCTGTTGTTTTGTTCAAACAACACAGCCGAGGCCTGGCGTGTCATGTCGGTGAGGACACAACTTGGTATATCCCACTAAGCCCTGTCGAGCTGTTCATCAATTAATGGAGGGTTTTTAAAGGTCCTAAAATGCTATCCTCGCCTCCCCTTGCGCCGTCAAAACAAAGACAGAGGCTACATGGAGCAGCCGAGGAAGCGCATGTTAACATATTCACCAGGAAAAGGAATATGCTGACTTCACTTTTATAAGAAGATGTGTTATTATTGTGCACATATCCGCAGAGGTGTGTTTTTATGTGCTAGGACCTTTCTTTATTGGCATGGAGAGCAGTGTGTATCCACGGCCGCTGCGGTTGTGGGGGCCTCGGGTTGTGACTGCTCCACGCACCCCGTGTTAGCACAGCCAACTATCAACAAAAAGGCCCGAGCTGCCACAATGTAACGCACACCATAACATGCACTGAAAGCACAAGGGGCCACACGCACACACACACGTAAGCTACGCCGTTGTTCTGTAGCATTTACCATTGTGTTAAACTTTGTGTCGCAGCCGCGAGCGTAGCTGAATATTTTTGGTTGAAAACTTGCACTCAGAGGCGATATGTATGTATGAATGTATGTATCCGGCCGGTGACATTGGGCTGTGTAGCCTGAGCACTTGGTGTTGTTTAATCCCCAGCTAGCGTGGGATTTGTGTGTGGTTTTATTTATTTTTAACGGTGCAACAGCTGACGACTCAGAAGATTCAGGCCGTTACCTTCTGGCCCGACAGCTGCGGTGGAGCTGCTGTGTCAACTCCGGCGGATTTTGGCCAGGAGAATACCGGAAGTGCCGCGACCTTGACTTCAAAATAAAACATAATTATATTTGTATTGTCATGGTTTGGGGCTCCTGTTGAGGGGGTACTTGCTCTGGAGCTTTTAGTTTTAACGGGAGAAATTTCCAGTCTTTCCTTCAACTTGTCTAGTGTAGGTTTATGTGAAAGGTTATTTCATTTTGTATATTTTTACATTGTATATAGGTTTACAAAGCAACAGCCCTGTTCATAAAACATTTTCGTGAAGACATAAGAATCTGATTTATTCCCAAGTAGATGTTCACATACAAGGAATTGGCTTTGGTGTATTGGTGCATGACAGAAAACAAAATAAAAGTAAGTACTATAACGCCAGGAAACATGGAGATAAAAAAGAAAAACATACAATAAGATTAATTTCTCCTACACAGTTCAAAGGCGAATTAGTTTTAGAAGTAGCCCAGTAGTTTTTTGCAGAAGTAAGAGCTGCAATGATTAATAGATTCATTGATTAGTTGTCAACTGTCACATTAATTGTCAACTACTATAAAAATCTAATAATTATAATCCAATAACCGTAATAAAAAAAGTCAAAATAATTTGATTCCAGATTCTTAAATGTGAACATTTTCTGTTTTTTCTCCTCCTCTATGACAGTAAACTAAATATTTGTAGGTTGTAGACAAATCAAGACATTTGAGCATGTCATCTTGGGCTTTGGGAATAGCTGACAAACATTTTTTACCATTTTCTGAGAAGACCAAACAGCCAACCAATTAGCTGAGAAAATAATCAACAGATTAATAGGTAATAGTTAGTTGCAGCCCCAGCAGAAATGTGCTAAATTATTGTCAAGGGGAAGTGTAAAGTTTACAGTATGAAGTATAAAGACACTGCAAGCCCATACAATACAGTATGTCTACTATGCATATGTATCAGCCTGTATCAGTCCTGGTAGTATAGTATAACAAGTAGAGTTTGACAAAGGTGCTAATCTTAAAATGCAAAATGCTATTTAAGGTTTTTCAAAAAAGGCATGCAATCATTGAATTTGACGACGAGCATGATTGATGTGATACAGTTTGTTTTAGCCTATGGTATATTTTACTCTATATAGATCATGATGCTGTCAGTCTATAAGAAAGCTTTATTTGAGACTAATCTCTGAGATTTTGGAGCTGAGATGTTTGTCATGTATACATGCTCTTTTCATTCCCTTGTCTATTTTTGCGGGGCAATACAAATTGGTTACTAGTTGATTTTTATTGATGAAAATGAATGCAATCAATCCATGTACTTAGGTAGTTGAAGGATATAGGATAAAAACACAATACATGGAAAAAGACTAATGGAAGGAACCCCGAGAGTAAAGGTAAAACAGTTTCAGGTTATCAAATGCACAGTAGTTGAACCCAGTTGTTACATTGTCTGTGAGGCAGAGTTTTACTTTGACAGGCATTTCCAGAAGTTTCCTCTTAATCTCCATGTAGCTTTACTGCTCTGCAGTAGATACAGATCTGTTGTTGTATAGCAGCCTTTAACAAAAGACTACAGCTCTCTGAAAAGTAGACAGACATGAATGACCCCTAGTTTCATTTCCCAATTAAAACAGTATGTAAATAATAAACATATTGTGATTGACATTATCACTCCTTGTGTTTGAGTGGGTGAAGCGATGTAAGACTTGTTGAAGCCGTTTCAGCAGGAGGCAGCAAAACAGTATGTTTATTGCTGATGGCTTGTCTCTTGGGTGTTAAACAAGTAAGTTGTCCTTAATTACATCCATGGATAGTTAAGGATAAACTAAATATCTGAACCAAATGTAGCCAATGGTTTAACATCAACACACAGTGTAAAGGACAGGTTTAAGGGGAAATATGTCTCTGTTGTGCTTCACAATGATCTCTAGCTGGAGGTTACAGCGCACCCAGCTTTTTACCTCCTGACAGGCCTGCTTCGCTGGCTATAGCTGACCAGTGGAGAAAACATAATGTTCACATTCATGCAGCATCAGGTTCATTTTATGTTAGATTACAAAAGGGAACAGTGTATGCCCGTTGACCATGCGCATCTGGTTCTTTGGAAATGGCCCTGGATTATTTGGCCAGAAAGTAGCGCTGTGGAGGGCGAGCTGTCAGAGTCAATTTGCCCCAAATCCAAACGCGAAATGTCTGTCCCTTCTTACTCCCTCAAAATTTTACACGTCTGCGCTGGCAGGCAGCCCCTGCATAGACAGCTGTGTGTGTGTGTGTGTGTGTGTGTGTGTGTGTGTATGTCTGTCTATCAGAGAGACATAGAGAGGCTTTGACCCACCCAGAGCTGACTGGATTTCTAAACAGATAGAGCTGTGAGTTTGTTTTTATGAGCTGATGAATAGGTTTGCTTAAGTTTGTACATCCCCCAAAATCTGAAGCTATTGTGAATGTGCTTTTAGGACAGGCACACAGCAAACTCCGTTAGGACTCATTCATTTTTTTTGTTTGAACACAATAAATAAACATTTAATTTATTTTGGGATCGTGACTGTGTCATGTTTGTACCTGTATGGAAGTGCAAATAAGGACATGCAAATTCCTCGCTGATCTTGTCACAGATGTTTGCCTATTGTAAATAGCATGTGCACTTTTTATTTACACATTAGAGCCCCCACCCCTCAATTACCCGTCTCTGGTTTAGATTTATCTTTCTAAATCTGTGGAGGAAAATGGATTGTGCCAGATGTTGCTTCATTCGCCTTGTTGTGACTCAGTGGATGCACCCAAATGTCATCTTCTCGACATCTTACATTTTACAATTACAATTACATTTACTTCCCACAAATAATGTGATGCCTGGAGTTTTCAGTAAGTGTGTGTGTGTGTGCATCTAAGTAGCTGGGTCTTAATACATGCTAATTAATTGTCTCTTTGTGTACTGAGGCTTTTTCTGTGGATTATAGGCTCGTGTTTGTGCTCCCACAGCATGCAATTATTTGTGTGGAAATCCATTAGTTGTTTGCAGAATCTGGAGTAATTCATCAAAGAGTCACAGACAATATATTGTAACTAATTCTAGTTAGGGCTTCAGCAATAACAATTATTTTCATTGTTGATTATTCTGTTGATTATTTTCTCAATTAAGCAATTAGTTGTTTGGTCTATGAAATGTCAGAAAATGGTGAAAAATGTCAGCCAGTTTTTGCCAACAACATCCCTAAATGTGTTGTTTTTGTTCCACAACCCAAAGACATCCAGTTTACTGTCATGAAGGAGCAAAGAAACGAGAAAATATTCATATTTCAAAAGCCCGAATCTGAACATTTCCTTTTTCTTTTTCTTAAGAAATTACTCAAACTGATTTATCGATTATCAAATTAGTTGCTGATTAATTTAAAGGTTCAGTGTGTAAGATTTAGGGGGGAATTAGTGACACCTAGCTTTGAGGATTGCAGATTGCAACAAGCTTAAACTTCTCCCACTTATAGTTCCTGTAGTGTTCATTGTTCAGGTTGGTCATTACTGGGAGCTGAATTATCAGCAGAGATCTTTGTCTCTCTGAAACAAATGAAGCAGGTGATTAAAACCAGAATGAAATAGTTCTATGTTACAAGTCAGTGTTCCTTGTAAACTGTTCATCTCATCATAGCCCAGCACCTGTTAATTTGTGCTCACCTTAAATTGTTAAAAACGCATTAAATCGTTCAAGCAGCTTCACATTAAAAACTCTGTTTGTCCTCTCTGAGCTACTGTAGAAACATGGCAGCGAATCAGTTAAGCGATGCAGCTCTAATTCCAGTGTACACTCTCAGTCCATGCTGATGTTGACGCTAGTGTGAGTTCAACAGTGTAAACGGCACAGGAAGTAAGCAGGGAATATGCATGCAGAAAAGATAACATGAAAGCAGAGGCCATCACGGCTCTACTCAACAGTACAAAGTCCTATCCTGCTGGTTTTGCTTAGAAGACACAAATTCCAGTCTCCTGTGCTGTTTTATCTCCTGTCACCCTCAGTGACTCGACACTGAGGGTGACTCTATCTCAGCTGCTTAGATTATGATCATTTATCCTTGTTTTTATGCTGGGGCCATCCTTGACCTTGAGTGAGGTGAGTGGATGGAGGGCGGCCCAGCTATATTAAAACAGACCACCAGGACTAATATTAACCTCTGCACTTCTTTCAGATGTTCACAAACAGTGATGAGGCGGTCATCAATAAGAAGTTGCCTAAGGAGCTGTTGCTACGGTGAGTGACGTTTCAAAACACTTCAATCAGAATCTCTGTGGGGTTTTTGCAAGCAAAAATGGCATGTTGCATACGTCACACTCACCTCCCTGCCCTTGCTCCCGATCGGCACAGCCAATCCCACACTTAGGCACGATTGGCCTTGCACCACCATGTTCTCGCTACAACCCCCAAACACAGACACACACTGCGCATCTCAGTCATATACTGTATGTGCCCTGTAGCAAATATTTCAACTAAACTAACCACCAGCATGAAAGTTTCCCCTTGTTCCCCACCCTACCGCTGCTCCCCCTATGCAAAAACTGTAATTAAAAACAGATGCTTGAGGCTATAAAGCATTCAAATTGAATTCAGGCAAAAAGAAAATCAAGAGCCCCTGCGCAAACAGAAAATGAAGGCCATAACTCAAGCCTTGGCCTTGCCAGCCAAGCTGCCTGTGCTGCGGCTGCTGACTCTGTGCTGCCCGGCCAGGTCCAGCACCCTGATTTGTGAGGCTGGCAGGCTGCGCTGGGACCTGCCGCATCCCCGCTTCAACCAGAGTAAAGTTTTTTGCCGCATCGTGGGCATCTTATAGAAAGTTTCCAGCTCCGTTTCTCGGAAGCACATTGCGTGTCTACCACGCCAGGACCCCTGGTTGAGTAAACACATCGATCCCGCAAACAGGGTAAACATATCTATCCTTCCCAGGAGTCAGAGACAATATTAGCTGATTGACTCACACCCCTGTGCTGTGAGTGGAAGCAGATGCAGGGTTGCGCTGAGGGCAGTTTAATGTAAAGAGGAAGCTTCTGGCAGCGGGGATCAGGGTCTCTAAACCGTCCCTGTCTGTCTTCCAGAATCTTCTCCTTTCTGGATGTGGTGACACTCTGTCGCTGTGCCCAGGTCTCACGGGTGAGTCTGTTCACAAGATGTGTGTGGATGCATGCGTGCAAGACTGTCTGTGTGTTTTTAGTGTGCGTTCTGTGTGTGTGTATGTGGTATGATTTAAAAAAACTTGACTCTAAATGCTTGTTTCTCCCTCCCTGCTCTCAGTCCTGGAATGTTCTGGCCTTGGATGGCAGCAACTGGCAACGGATCGACCTCTTTGACTTTCAGAGGGACATCGAGGTGAGTAAATCTGATCTTCCTTACTCACACCTGTAACTTCAATCTTTGCTGTGTACTTTTCCCTTCACACTTCACTCCTAGTCTGTCATTACTTTAGGTGTAGAAGCAAATACAGCACGCTGAGTGGATTGTTTTTGTTGCAGGGCCGGGTGGTGGAGAACATTTCAAAGCGATGTGGAGGGTTCCTTAGGAAGCTGAGCCTGCGGGGTTGTCTGGGTGTGGGTGACAGCGCCCTGAGGTGAGTTTGGCGAAGACTTTGCCCGGTGGAAATTCTAGTTTTAGTTCAGAGAGAGGCTGGCAAGTTCTGTTTGATCAAATTAATGTTTTATTTTCCTGTAGGACTTTCTCTCAGAACTGCAGAAACATCGAGCTGCTTAGTCTGAATGGCTGCACCAAGATTACTGACAGGTACATGCATTGTTCTCGGATGCCAGTGTGTCATAGTGTCACTTCTCCTTCAAAACACTCATTGTGGTTTGCCTTTGCAGCACGTGTAACAGCCTCAGTAAGTTCTGTCCAAAGCTGAAGCACCTGGACCTTGCCTCCTGTACCTCAATCACCAACCTGTCACTCAAAGCTCTCAGGTGTGTACGGTCAACATTGTGATGTGTAGTTCCCCTGAATTTAAAACATATTAAAGGGTAACTCTGGTATTTTTTTAACTTGGACCCTGTTTTCCCATGTCTTTGTGTTTAAGTGACTAATAGCAGCTGTAATTTTTGAAATTGGTCCAGTATTTAACGAGTGTGCTGCAGCCGTGAAACAGACTGCAATGTAATCACTTGGGGCATATGCATTGTTAATAGACATCCACTAAAAGTGCTTGTTTTTGCCACTGACGGGCTCAGATTGTTATCATAAGTGTCTGACAACAGTATGGAAATGATCCCTACAAAGATAGACCTTTTTGTTTAACATAAAACAGCCTCAAAATCACTATTGCCAAAGCCACCAGACTCCATTCAAATAATTGATAATTTAATCATCATAAGATGAATTTCATTCAAAGTTGAAAGATACAAAATAAAACTCACAAAACTAAGACTGGTTAATTTTTCTATTGTTTCAACAATTACCAACTCTGGTTTGGTTGAAATAAACCTTTAATTCACCCAGTTAGATGTGAAAATATGCTGGCTCTATACACGCTAAAATGGCTGTTTATTAAATGGAGTCTGGTTGGTTTGGTAGTGGCGATTTCGGAGCTGTTCCTGGTTAAACAAAAAGGATCTTACTCTTTAAGAAAAGGTCTGTCTCTGTAGGGATCCTTTCCATAATGTTGTCAGACACGTAGAAAAACAATTTGAGCCTGTCGGTGGCAAAAACAAGCATTTTAGTGGACATACATTGACGATGCATATGCCCCACATGGTGACATTTCAGTCTGTTTTGCGGCTGCCAGCTGCAGCACTATCACTCAATACTGGACCAATTTCAAAAATTGTTGTTCCCATTAGACATTTAGACATAAAATCATGAAAAAATTGGTTCCAAGTTGCAAAATACCAAAGTTACTCTTTAAAGATCTGTATTGGACACCTTCATATACCACCTGTTATCCCTCGTTGATTTTCTCTGTCAAAACCACTCCAGTAGCAAATGAGATATCTTGCTTTTTTGTTTCCCACCTCTCACTTGTCCACTTCTGATTTCCTCCTGTCAGTGAGGGTTGTCCCCTGCTGGAGCAGCTCAACATCTCCTGGTGTGATCAGGTCACCAAGGATGGCATACAGGCCCTGGTGCGTTGCTGTCCTGGACTTAAAGGCCTTTTCCTCAAGGGATGCACACAGGTATGGCTCAGGAACTAGTGTGAGCTGGAGATGCTGCAGACCAAGGCTCGTAGTGTTTGATACTTAGAGTATAATGAGATGCAGATAATTTTAAAATTTAATTGGATTAATCTGAAAGCAATTGAATTTGTAGAACTTTATCATTTGGTTCCACTGGTGTCTTCTTAGGTGCTCTGTTCTTATTGCTCAACACTGCGCTCATGTATAGGTGGCACTGTTTTTTGTACATTTCATCATAGAGGCCCTCCCTCACCATACCAGCCAGTTCCTCTTATTTTCATTCCTATAGAGCACAATCATACTACCGCAAACATAAAATGCATCACTTCCTGTGCAACAGAGGATGTGACTGAGGAAAGGCATGCCAGACACTGTTTACACTGTGAACGCCTTGATATAGCACCATCCTGTTCTATCAACAGTCAACACTACAGTGTGAAAACAACCACGTATTTCCATGATGATGTCACAGATCATTAATTTAAAGGACAAAACATATACAGTCAGTGGCCAGAAGCAGTGATTAAACTTTATGGCCATTTTAGAGGCTGCAGTTTGTGGTGCTGGTGGGATAATCTTAATATGCTTTATGATTAATTGAATAAATGTAGTTTGATTTCAGATGACTGTCATCTCTGTCAATCTCTTCCACAGCTAGAGGACGAGGCTCTGAAGCATATCGGGGCTCACTGTCCAGAGCTGGTCACACTCAACTTGCAGACATGCTCAGTAAGTACAGTAAACAAGGATAAAAGATGAATCATATGAAAATGGAAAAAACTCATTTTTTGTGCCCCTGAATCTGGATTTTTGGCATAAAAGAAAAAAGTACACACAACATTGTTGTATAGGCTGATGTGCACGAAGTACACACTGTGCTCATCAGCTCAAAGCTCATGGTGGACTTCCAGCCCACATAGCCAATAGTCTGCGCACACAATGCATTTAATTTTCTGTCTTTAAAAAAACCTCCTTTTGGTCAACACCCAAATGCTCCTCTCATCCTCCCCCTTCATCTCTCCTTCTCCTCCTCGTCTCACACCTCAGGACTCATCATCTCATCTTGTCACAGCCATTCCTCCTCTTCCTTTTCTATTGCCGAGCTATTTCTCACCTGGTTTCCCTCCGCCTGATCTCCACAGACTTTTCCCTGAGCAACACTTAAAACAGAAAATGCTAGAGACAAGAAACTGCTCTCATTAGCTGAGTGTAAATACATAAATATAGGCCAAGTCCATACACTGATTGCTTTTCATGCATACCAGCGAGCACAGGAAAAGGAGGTTGTTTTTTAAATTCCAGCAATGGATGTGGAAGTGATCCCACACATGTAATCCCACACTCTCTCTTTGTGTGAGCAGCAGATCACAGATGAGGGTCTCATCACAATTTGCCGGGGTTGTCACCGCCTGCAGTCTCTGTGTGTGTCGGGCTGTGCCAATATCACAGACGCCATCCTGCACGCTCTGGGACAGAACTGCCCCCGCCTCAGGTGAATTTACACGCTTACACTTACGTCCTCAATCTGAACGAGACCGTGCACCACTTCCAAGGCCCTGCAACTGTAGAATCTATCGCTATCTGTCTAATCTATCTATTTTACCTTTTTGCTCGACCCTGGCTGACTGATGTAACTTGCTTCAAGAGACTTTTCTGAAATGGGTCAAACTTCAGTGGAGCTATTCTCTCACAGATTTTTTTCTAAATATCTGGCAAAACAACATTTGCAAGACTCATTTTTAGATTAAATGGCTTGCGGAAATAATTATCATAAAAATGGATGAATTATTTAATCCTGCAGTAAAGATCGAGTTTATAATGGAGATTGTGGAGAGCAATGAATAAATGTGCCTTTTCTGTACAAAGTTATCTCAAGCCCCTCCACTGTAGAGTCCCAAAGATTGTAAACAATGCCATGTATAACTCTGTGTTGCTCTCTTTTTCCCTACAGAATATTAGAAGTGGCTCGCTGCTCTCAGCTTACAGATGTGGGCTTCACTACATTAGCAAGGGTGAGTGTGGCATCTGCTACTTTGGTTTCTTGCAAACACATACATGTAGACTCTTTGCTCAGTGACTCAAATATTTAAAGTGAATGTCACAGTCATTTTTTGTTGTTGGAGAGTATTTATACACACTTCACCTGGGTGCAAGGCTGTCAGGAAACAGCATAAATGAAGAAAAAAGTTACACCACACACTTACTCCATGCCACAAAAGTTTAATAAAGACAAAGTTTGGATTGTACTTGGGTCTACGTCAGGTCAAAATGCTGAAAAGTGGAAACCACACCTATATTTATACATATTGTACACCAATAGCCTGACAAGATGAGGGCAGGTGTGGTAACCATCCAAACTGTCCAAGATGATAAAACAATTCACACTAAAAAATTCAAAAAAGGACACAGAAAAAAGCCTTACAAGAGCCATACTTCAAAAAATCAAACATATATCTCTTGATTTATAAAACATCAAACTACATCACGTATATAAAAAAATCTAAGGTATTAAGTTAGATGCCAAAGAGAAGATATCTTGAATACATGTACAGAGTGGTGCTAAAAAATCTCTTAAAGTGATTTTGCTCAAAACACAACAAGGAAAATTGTTTTTTTGTCGCAAAACTTTTTTAAAAAAACAAAATATTTCAAGATTCTTGTCATGAAAATCAAAATCTCCACCAAAGTGCATTAGATCATATGTGTCCTCTCTGTGTGTTGTCTCTGTTTCCGCCGCAGAATTGTCATGAACTTGAGAAGATGGATTTAGAAGAATGTGTGCAGGTAAATAAACAATCCGAGCAACACAAACACTGTTCTCACTGTTTTACTGAGACTGCAGTTATGACATTTATTTCTGTTTTTTATTCGTGCATCAGATCACAGATGGAACACTCATCCAGCTGTCTATCCACTGCCCTCGTTTGCAAGTCCTGGTGAGTGTGTGGCTGCCCCTCCTGTTGTTTTTACAAACACCAAATCGCAGCTTGTTCTAGTAGACAACTGAGTAATGGAGCTCCTCTGTCGGCTCTCCCGCAGAGTCTGTCTCACTGTGAGCTGATCACCGATGACGGCATCAGACACCTCGGCAGCGGCCCCTGCGCTCACGACCGTCTGGAGGTGATTGAGCTGGACAACTGCCCCCTGATCACCGATGCCTCACTGGAGCACCTGAAGAGCTGCCATAGTCTGGATCGCATCGAGCTCTACGACTGCCAGCAGATCACCCGCGCAGGCATCAAGAGACTAAGGGTGAGTTGTGTGGGCTGACAGCAGTGAGTAAGCACTGATTCATATGTGGAATATACTGTAAACACACTTTTTATAAACACATTTAATAAGGTTTATGCTGAATGATGTTAACATGGTTCAGAGCCTCTACTTGCATATGCTTTCTATCCTTGGAACTGCCAGTTGGTTGTATTGTTGGGCTCAGCCGTCCAGGCTAGTTTTGGATTGTGGAATGTTATTAATTAAAGTACAGTGACCACAAAACAGCTTGTGAGTTTGTGATACAATATATCACAACCCTAAGGTGCTATTTAGGAGGCTTTTACATCAGGAACCAGGGCCAGGATCTGAGTACACTTGACCCAGAAGTCCACTTTGTTTGATTAATGTGAACACTGTGTACCGTACCCCGGCACAGTTCATCAGTCTGTGCCTGGGTCCACTTAAAAAGGAGGTCTTGAGTGTGGTTCATGTGTACTCAGGTATGATTCACATCAGGTGTGAAAATCCACTGTACCAAAACACTGAAGTGGACTGCTGTTTAACATGAGTAGCTACTCGACGGGTAGAGTTGCACAGGCATTTCTCAGCTTCACTGGTCTCCTCCTAAATCTGCATATGTGCACAGCACGTGGCGATCTCATCCACTTAACTGCACGGAATGCAGGCAAGAGAGTTGTTCTTGACACCGTCTTCAAAATATAAACCATAGTAAGTGTAATCTGAAGGTCAGCTCTGATGTATGGGTTTGAGATCTCGCGACTGGGGCGTGTGATTTTGTGAAACTCAATCATAACACGTGAAGCACGTTCCTGTTGATGGTTTCACACTATTCCATGCTAATAAACACATTAATGCAACATCAAAGGAAACAAGAAGACTGCAGGCAAGTAAACATGGATGTTAACAATGCAGTTGTTCAAAACAACATTGGTTTAGCAAATATTATGAGGAGGGAAATTCATTCAACCTGTTGTTGGACCTGAAGGGCACACACACACTGTCTTTATTTGTTTTAAAGTTGTTTTTATTTGTTTTAAAAGGCTCCACATGGCACCTTTAGTTCCTTAATGAAAGCCTGTTAAATACAGAGTTCTTAGGGACATATGATGAGGAGTATATCTGATGTCAGGTCAGTGCAAAATCCAAATGATTTCAGTTGAACCTAAAATTTAAGATGGCACATCATTTCAGCAGCATTGCACTAAATGCTGTCTTACAACTAGGGCTGCAAATGCCTTAATCAATTAATCTTTTGGTCTATAAAATGTCAGAAAAACGTGAAAAATATTCATCCCCCTTTCTCAAACTCCAAGGTGATGTCTTTAAATGTCTTTGTTTGTCAGTCCAAAACCAAGAGATACTCAGCTTAATATGATATAAAACAGAGATAAGCAGGAATCTCCATATTTGAGAGACTGAAAACAGCATTTTCTGCCATTTTGCATGAAAAATTACTTTGATAATTAATCGATTATCAGCATAGTTGTCGATTGTTTTTCTTTTGTTCGATTAATTAACTGGTCGACCAAACATTGCAGTTCTACTGAAGACTCCAAGTCAGGAAGAAGGAGTTTAAATAGAGGGTAATAACCTTTTTTTAAGACCTGAATCAGGGCTACATTGAAAACATTTTTCTTTGAGCCTGATTACGGAAGTTTCAGAGGTAGATCATCGTTAGAGATTTATTGATTTTGTCTAAATTAAACTCTGATGTTGGCATCGCTGCTCCACCCACAAGAAGTGATGCATCAAAACTAAGTGGTGAAAAACAGGAAGCAAGCGATCACTCTGTCCAGAGAGAGCTGGTCTCATCAGTATCAGATCTCATGACTGTCTTGGATTTTAATAAACATATTATGTTGAAGGAGTTGGAAAGCATGAGTTCAGGATATTAAGATAATTGTATGACTCATTAACACATTTGTCCTTCTCTCCTCTCCACAGACCCATCTGCCTAACATCAAAGTGCATGCATACTTTGCTCCCGTCACTCCGCCCCCCTCCGTCGGGGGCAGCCGTCAGAGGTTTTGCCGCTGCTGCGTCCTGCTATGATGTAAAGACAACAACCCCCCCCTCCTCTCCCTGTGTCCCTCGTACACGCTCCCCGCAGCCCGTCACTTGACCCCTGACCTGCTGTCTCCCTCCCGGCGCCCTGTCATAGAGTACGTGCTGGTGTATGTCCCCTTCCCTTTGGAGCTGCAGAGAGAGGGAGAGAGCCAAAACACACTACACGGTCTTGGGTAACTTTCCCCCAGAAAACATTCCCGAATCTCTCCACCGCACACGGACAGCTCATACACAACAGGCTTTCTGATATGCACACACAGATTAACTCTCAGAAGAATATCAGAACATTCCTGGTCAGTGGACAAACCAGTATTACAAGAGGGTTGTGTAAAAATCAGATGTGATCATCACTGTTAAGGGATTTAACTCTTCATCAAATTGTGTATTTGAGGGGAGTGACGCAATTCAGTTATTTAGCACTTTTAGACAGATTACAGTCGCAGCCTTTAAACAGAATATTGAAAAGGTTAAAAAAAAAAATCCCTCTAACTTCTCACACATATTTCCCTCGCCATTGAAGGTCACTTAACAGCTACCTCTAGACGGGAACTGCACTCGAGTAAGACCTGTTTAGCTTCGCTCTGCAAGCTGTTTATTTCAAGAAGGGGCAGCGATGCAGCCGATAAACTGCAGACACCCCCGACACACACACAGGACGCAGCAGAAAGCCTTTTTTGTGTGATTAAAAAAAAACAAACTTGCAGCTATTTGCACTTATCGTAAAGCAATGATGAGACACTTTACAAAGACAACCATCTCAGAATTTAAGACTGGCATCGTACTAACAACACACACACAAGTCTTCACGCACACACTGAGCTTGCACCACCTGTACCCTCACCTCTCTCTGTCTCTCTGTTACAATCAGAAGCTTCAATATACTGAAGAGAAAAAAAAGAAGAGAAAGTTTAATATTTTTCTAAACAAAAAAAAAAAAAAGGACACCAATTCAGACTTACAAGTTGGGACTCGAGAAGATGCCAAATGTTGCATGTAACACCTCTAGTTTTTTAAAATCTAATTGTAAATATGTGAGGACCGCAGAGTCTGAGAGTCAAAGCCAGCTAAGTGACAGATGACGATACGAGACAGGGGGCAGAGGTTTCTGTCAACGCAGTCTCCCTGAGGGAACTGTGGCGAAGCTCACACACCCACATGTTGTGAAAGTGTGTTTCAAAAAATGTGCTGGAGCTTTTGGACAGTCGAAATGAGCCAGCGCTTCATCTGGAGTCTAACCGAAGAACTGATGCTGGCCTGTGAGAGCTCATGTCAACGACAGAGAAGTTCTAAAGACTTACAAAAAAAAAACAAAGTCTGACATCACTACATGAATTGATGCGGTCAGACCAGGACAATGGAAAGAAAAAGCCAACTGAAAACAATCAAAGTACGTCTATTTTCAGTTAGTTTGATTTCATTTAGTTGCTATTGTTTTCGCATTGGTGACGGCCGTGATGACGAGGAACTACAAGCAGCGGCGAGTACAGACGTCAGGAGTGGCATCGGCGACTCCTCAACTCCTATGAGGCCTTGCAGGGTGACGGAGCCTGCCACCTGTGACCTCCTCCGTCTTGTCGGAGGCATGGACCGGATCAGAGCGGTGGAGTCACTGCAAGAGGACGTCAACTGAATCTTGAGCGCACAATTCTGGCCTGTTGACGGATGATTTTTGTCACAATGGAGGGCTATGATGAAGTATTGAAGCCTTTTTCTTATGGATTACCCTCTCCTGCACTTGCACCTGCTTTATTCTGTGTCTCTTTTTCTTCCTTTTTATAAATGTGTCTTTTCTTTTCTTGATTTCCTCTGGATCTCTACCTTCACCCTCTTCTTTTTTGCATTTCTGTTTTGGTGTGGTTTGGATTGCGCCTGCTTTTGTGTTTGAAGTCATGAGTTCAGTGTCTCCAAGTTGAGTTCGAGCCCTCTTCCAGTCCTCAGTTCTGATCTGATGGTGTTTGTGTTTTTATTAAGAGTTTATTGTTACTAAATGTCCAGGGGAAGTGTTGGCGCCAGTGCAATTGTAATAAATGTTAAAAGTTTTTTTTTTTTTTTTTTTTAAATGTGAGTTGAGGAGGAGTTCACGGTGACATGTATGTATGATGTAGGTTCTTACTGAATGTTTCCATCAAGGAGAAGTCCTTGGGATGGCTGTTGAGGCATTGTGTGCCGCTTTAGCAGGTTTTTCTCCCACACGCGTGCTTTCCTCTCCTTTAAGTTTTTTTTTTCTTTCCACTCCCATAATGCACCCTGCCCAAATGCAAACAAGACAGAAATTGGTAAACCCAGTGTGGAATGTTGATCCCCGTTCTGGTTTTAGATGCACGCCAACGGGCAAAAACACTGAATGATGATTCTATTCAGTTTGAGATTTGACAGCTACGGCAGGCAGGATAATACAAACTCAGATGAATCCAGTGTAATCCAGTCTGATCTGTTTTGTTTGAATGGGGGTTTACGGGGGATTAGGGAACAACTAAGAGTCAAAATGGCGGAGACATCTAATGTACTCTGTCTCTGCACTCTGGGGTTAAGACAGTTAACTGGAGGAAAAAGGAAAAGTCATAGGATTTAGTCGATGAGCCTGGTTGTAACACCTGCTGGCCCTCGTCATGCTCCGTACATGGCACGGGGCTGAGTCATAAGTGCAGCTATAACACGTGCTTTCAAGGCAAACACTTTGAATGGATTGCAGGTAGTGATACTCAAACCCACTCCTGATGGTTTTATATGTACAAAAGGATACAACTAGACATCACGCTTTTCATGGTACCAACATACACTACAGGCTCTACAAAGCAAAGCACCGGACTCATTATTTTTCCTCACAGTATCAAACCACCTCTGTGTCCTTCTGTCAGACCTTTCACCAGTTTACACGGAAGTCGAGCCGTCGCGCTCTGGATCAGTTTGTTTCATGTACGTTCGGTCCCAAACACTGGAGTGAGGTTGAGGATTAGGACAGAGGGCAACAAGAGGTGAATCTACAGTGTGTGTTCATGGTAGATCGACACCTGAGAAATTTCAAAAACAATTTTGACAATGACTGTAGTTCATATAATTACTGTAAATCTTTTCCTCTTTTCATTTTTTTTCTTTTTTTTTTTTTTTTTACAATTAACCGATATAAATGAATATGTACGTATGAATAAATATATACCTATATTATTAAGACTTGTCTGGTTTTCTCTGGTGTTCAGCTTGTTCTCAGTTTACAGGTTGTTTAGCCTCATCAGAGCAGCAGATGGCAGCAGTGAGCCAGTTGTAATGATTCCTCATCACGTCTGCTGGTCTGAGTTCAGCTATCAGCTGCTGGCAACATTCAGGATCTATCAGCTATCCAATGTCATGGATTGATTTGCTTTAGTCAGGAGTAACATGAGGTAAGCCACCAGCTCTCAGATAGAATACCTTTTTTATTTTAAAGGGAATCATAGAGAGGAACATTTTGTTTTCATGTAAAAATCTTGGCAGTTTTAAAATGGCCAGTACTAGCATCACTACTTACTAAATGTGGCTATTCTTCAAGACACCACTTTGCAGTGGTTGTTAAAGGCCCAGTGTGAAGGAACTAGGGGCATCTATTGGCACAAATTATTATGGTGTAAATGTTTTTGGGAGCATATACTGAAAGATTTTGATCTTTTCAGATGATGATCAGTAAGTGTGTGCTAGTAAATCATATCTTAAACCTTTCAAAATCACTGCTTAAGAAATGTTGAAAGTTGCTGAAAAGTTTTGAAATGTGTAGAAATGATTTGTAGTTTCAAAACAAAATACATATCTAAATGAATTTTTTATACCGCCTGTCACCTTGATTCCAATTTTTGATACCTGTATTAGCCTAATTGGATTAGTTTAAAGAGAGGGGAAAAAACAACATTTTTACAAAAATGTCATTACTTACTGTCAACTAAAAGGTTACAGTGAGTTGTCATCGACCAAAAAGACAGATTAAAACGTGACTAAAACTGAAACTTGTCCAAAGACTAAGACTTAATCTAGAATAGCTGCCAAATTAACACATGGTTTATATCTACATACGGAGCAGGTCCGTTTTCACAGAGTCCGCCATGTTGTCCTACAGTAGAGCGGACAAACCAAGCACTGGCTCTAGATAGGGCCAATTCACGTTTTTGCATCAGCCACCGTAGTTCTTCTGCACTCCAAGCATGCAACAGAAGTTTCAGTTCTGCAGCCTCACCATTAGATGGCACTAAATCCTACAAACTAGACCTTTAAAAATGTATTTGTTGATTTAGATGTCACAAGTTCTTTCTTTTCCTCTGATTTGTTTTGAGGACCCAATCAAGAAAGCAGCACCAAAACACACTAGTGGGCATTACAGTAATTAAGATGAAACTACAGGGGCCTATTTGTTTTTTGGGTCTAGTGCAGGGGTAGGCAGCCTGCGGCTCTTTAGCCCTTCTCCAGTGGCTCCTGTGGCTTTGACAAAAAATAATATGGAAATGAATAAGAGAATTTTTTTTAACATTTTAATGTTTATTTATTGTTGTAGCCCTAAAGTGATACTTACATTTTCCAACTGTACAAATGTGTAGCCTATACACAGAATAGAAAATATTTGAACATCTCGTCAACTATGTGCATCATATGTCTACAGCATGGTGCCTTTTCCTAAAATTTGCCGAATGTCAGTAGCGATGGCCAGTCTTGAGTCTCCCTCGTGAGGCTAGCTAGTGATTCCAAATCCAAAAAAGAAAATGTCTCGGAGGAAAATAGAAAATTTCATAGTGAGTGGACAGATTTGTTTGTTTTCACTTCTTACGCTGCAAAGTTAAACTATTAAATAATCATAAATAGTAGACTGCAGAGTAGCTACTTCGTTGTAAACCATTTTAATTAATGCTCATTTGAAACTAATTTACATTTTATAGTCTAATTTAGATTAAATAGGCTGAGTTGCCATCGCTATAAGGCACAAATATGTATTTTTACTTCTTTGTTTTTTGGCCAAAAATGGGTCTTTTGACAGTAAAAGTTACTGAACCCCTGGTTGAGTGAATAGGTTCAAGCTTGTTGTGGATTCTCTTAAAACAGTAGCCCCATATGAACATTGTAGCAGGTTTTGCTTGCTGTAATTATTCCTACTGTTCACACTGGCTACTGTGAGGCCTTATCATCCTGGTGTAGACAAATCAAGTAAACACTCCAAAAAAAAACTCCAAAATTGTGAACCTTAAAGGGACAGTTTACTCTTAATCAAAAATACATGTTTTTCCTCTTACCTGTAGTTCTGTTTATGAGTCTAGATTGCTTTGTTGTGAATTATTAAGTGTTAGAGATATCGGCTGTAGAGATGTGGCACTCGGCTTGTGGCGCTCAAAGCGCAAAAAAAAAAAAAAAAATACATTTGAAAACTCAACAGCATTGTCTCTTTCCAGAAATCATAATCTGGTTACTCAAGATAACCCACAGACCTTGTTGTGAGCAGTTTCATGTAGGAACTTTTCTCTTTCTATCGAACTACATCCATCAACCGTGTCACCCTAGCAGAAGGAAGCATGCATCTACTCATGGATGAGAGGCTTGTGCTCCTGACTGCACAAGATGTAAACACTGAAGGCGTCCTCCTCAGCTGAGCTGTAACGTTGGTTAGCCCAGTGGTCTGAAGTGAGCCAGCAGTAGATGCACGCTTACTTGTGCGTGGTGAAACAGTTGTTGGGTGTAGTTCGGTAGAAAGAAAATAGTTCCTACATCAAACTGCTCACAACAAGGTCTGTGGGTTATCTTGAGTAACTGGGTCATGGTTTCTGGAGTGAGACATTGCTGTTGAGTCTTTATAATGGTTGTTGTTGTTTTTGTTTTTTGACGCTTTAAGCACCACAAGCTGAGTGCCATCTAGCTCCATTATATTCATGGGAAGGCAGACATCTCTACAGACAATATTTCCAACACTCGGCAACTAGCACCAAAGCAATTTAGACTGAGAAATGGCACAGGCAAGAGGAAAATATGAATTTTTGATTTGAGGATGAACTGTAAGTCAGCATTATTTACTCACAAGCTCAGTGAATAACTGAGATGCTCAGCGCAAGTGTGAGTTTTCTTATTTATGGAACAAACAGCAAACATCCTAAGAGCACAGCCTTGATCAGATGGGTGTGTCTGCAGTTTAAAATGTGGCTCTTTGGGTGTTTATGAAAAGATATACTCTTGGAGCTCATGGGACACCACATGCAGAGTCAAGTCTCTGTGTTTGTGTGTACTTACGTACACATGTTGGAGGTGAAAGCACAGATGAACAATCAGTATCAGTTTATGCCAGGGGAGAGAGCAGCAGCTCTGGTCCTGTGATTGCACCATGACGACTGCTGTCATGGCTGGGATCTGTTTTCCGCCGCATGGGACTCATTTTGTGCCTCTCATCCTCCCATTGTTCCCCCCCTCCCGTCTCTAAATCACCGAGAGATCAATGTGTTTCCACACTCGTTTTAATGTTCATTTTTAGCAGCCGTGTTCCGGCACCTGAGGGATCACATGGAGGATGAAAGGTGGGTGGCTCAGAGGGAGACATTTAAATGCGTGTGTGTATGTGTGTTTCCCTCCTTCAGCATTTCTTTCAACTGTTCTGTGTTTTCTGAGCTTGAACACAGAAGGATCAGATCACAGCTCACTGCACACCAGCCCTACCAAGACATTGTGTTACAGCTTATTTTTTGACAGCACTGCTACACACCAGAAAACTTTTGACTTGGCTTTTGTTTGTTTTTTTTCACAGAGTGTTCCTTTCAGCAGTCACTGTGCTATCTGCTGTGCCCTGGCTCTGAGTGAAGCAATAATTAATGTGATAACAGAGGCTCTTTCCCTTTGTCTTCTTCCTTCTGTCTCTTTCTCCAACGCACCCACGCACAAGGACTTTCTGAAAGCTTAGAGCAAAGTTTGATGTCAGGCTACGGTGAAATAAGGCAGTGCAGATAGAAAAAAAACAAACTTTAATCACATTCAGAAGTCTTCCGTCCCTGTCTCACGCTGCACTATTCGCTTTAAATTCACTTTAAAATACCACTTATTACCTTAACTCTCCCTGTCTTCTACCTTCATCAGGTTAATGCAAAAATCAGTAGCTGTGACCACAAGCTTATTGCTTCATTCTCCTTCATCTGATGTGTTATAAAGGGGACAATCAGTTGAAACGCACCCGAGGCTGGTAAAAGAAGCAGGTAGGAAATCAGAGTGCATTTGAAAGCATCAGAGGTAACAATCCTCTGGCCTTATTGTAGCTGCTTCATGCCAACCCTGATGTAGCTCTAACTCTGTAGGGCAGCATGGCAGCTACGGCTTTATTCAGTCAGTCAGAGGGCAGGTGGGAAATGACAATTGGAATTTACTCTGATAACAAAATAAAAGTGTGGCTGGGAACAATTTTCCCCCCAAAAAACAGACTGAAAGTAGTGCAGCTCATCCTATATGGGTCATTGTTCTACTGTAGGACTGCTGATGACCCACAGCAGAAAGTTCTGCAACAACATCCTCCACCCACTTCTATCACCACTGAAACATCCCTCTGACCAGTGCCGCACCCAGCACATTCGGCACCCTGGGCAAAATCCCCCCCAACCACCCCCATATTATTATTATTATTATTATTAGTTGTAAAAGTAGTATAAGTATTAGCGTATTTATGATATGTATTATTAACAAGAATAAGAGCTGATCAACACAAAAAAACACTTAGTTAACAAACAATAGCAAATGAACAACAAGAGAACACGGTATGTGCAAATTTGCTAATTTCATCTTCTCCCATTTTTACTACTGCACCCAGGATGCTTTTGCCTTTTCATTTTGTTTTATTCTCATGCTCTCCACTTTTACTCCAATACTTCCCTTACAGCTGATTTCAATTTATTATTTTTATTTATTTATTTACCGTAAAACTTCAATTAAAAGCCTGGTCCCAGTTAAATGCCCAGTCCCTTTTACTAGCCTGTTGTGGCTACACATTTTGATAATAATCATCTGTCTCAATTGGTCAGGTTGCCAAGCAGTTCATTTTTTGTAGTAGTAGCAGAAGTAGTTCTTCAAATGTATGAAATCCGGGTTGTTGGCTGCCTAAAATTATGTGTCTGTTCCTCGATTACCCTGTAAGTTATTCATATTCCTTAAGTCCGTAAAGGTCCTCAGATCAAAAAATGTTTTATTAAAAATAATCCAAGTTGTTAGTATTGTTTTAACAGGATAAAGTGGTCTTGTGTCGGTATGTCAGGTGCCTTAATCCTGATGCACTGTACTTTGGAACTAGATCAAATGAATGATTCGTGATTGATGTATTATTGGCAGCCTAAGTTTTATACAAGTAATATTCACACTCGTTTAAATAAGCAATTTGCTTTGATTGCATTTCCCATCTTTGCAAAGCAAGAGCAAATATATGCATCAGTGATGTAAGCAAATAAAAGCCATTGGCTACTAATTTAAGTTTAATTGTATTTATTTGCCAGGGGAATTTTGCCCCCCACCCCCCTTTGGGTGGTCCCCCTAGGCACCTATTGGGAGATACACCACTGCCTGGGACATTGAATCATAATAACTGCATACTTTATATTGTTTTTATATTGTATCACTTACACTGCATGATCTGAAACCCCTTTAGACTGATCAGCTATAGACAGATGCGCAGATGGTAATAAAAGCCAGATGGTGTCATCAATTGACCTGTTGGAACGAGCTGTAATCATGTAGTTAGGGTACCTTTTCGTGGGTGTTTAAGTTTGCACCGAGGACAAGACAAATTAATTAAACAATGAATTAAACAGGTTCGCTTTGCTGCTTAAAACTGATTTTTAAAAAGCAGTAATTAGGAGAGAAATGATGAGGGAACGTCCTGTTTATCACCTCAAAGAGAAAATTAGCGCTCTGTTTGCCAGTTGTGAGGTAGTCTATATTTGGTCTTAGTACAAGCCCCCGCCCCGTGAATCCAGTCTAAATGAATCCTGGCAGAGTTGTAAAAATTGACCCAATCATGCGCCTCAGACGCACGGGAAGGCGTGCCTCGGATTGCGCTTAAATTTAAGTGTGTGCATTGGTGAAGGGCACATTTCGCTTTGGATTTATACCCAGCCAGCGCCTTCCAGAGCACCAGCTTTGTTTGGATTTATTACACTGAAAAGAGATTTCCACATCGATGTTTTTTTCTGGTTTGAACCTTTTTTTAAAAAAACTGTAGGACGGAATTGTGGCACATTGGAGTTTCCCGATGCGCGTCAAGGGGCGATACAATTACCCACGCGCGAGTCTCAATCCTGAATGTTTGTCCTTGCATGGCCTGAGCGAAATATAAACAGCTGGTGTGAGCGTGTGTATGTTTAGAAACTGTTAAATCAACCTGCTGCTGTTGGTGTGTGTGTGTGTGTGTGTGTGTGTGTGTGGAGAGAGAGAAATTGGAAATAAGGCGTCCATCTCGCAGCGCGCACAAATTCCTGCAATGAGGATCTGTCACACTTTGCCAAGATTTTTATGTGGCTAAAGCCGGAGATTTCCTACCGACTGGACACAGTTTGAGGAGTTAGAAGTTTTTTTTGAAGTGTTTGTGTCTTGAACGACTCTTTCCATCACGGTATCAATGATGACTGAGAACAGCGAGATGGAGAGCGACTCTCAGCTTCAGCGCTCTCCAAGCACCATGTCCATCCAGCCGATGTCATCCAAGGCAAGTATAAACTCAGTACACTCAGCCCTAATGATCTGTTTTACAAGTCTAATCTCTGTAACGAGGAGAAATGAGACGGTAAACTTTGCAGAGCAGTTTCCTCCACACACTGAAAGCAAAATGATTCCTTGTGTAATTAAAAAAAGATTTTATTTACCTGAGATTTTCCTGTTTTTTATTCCCCCTTTTTTGTTATTTCACTGGTTTATGTAATATTGATGTCAGCCCTTAACAATTGCAGTTGTATTCATCATGACTGCGTCACTAGGTGTAACCTCACACGTAAGGTGTGATGTCACTGTCTGCTCCGTTTTCTCTCTGTCTCTCCATATTCACTTCCTGCGCACACAAACACACACATGCAAAGGAGATTTATGCTTAGTATTAATACATTATATGCATTTTAATGAGTATAATTTACATCTAAGACCAGTTACAGTTAATGCTTTTCAGATTTGTATTAATATAGGTTTTATTTGGTTATTATAGTCACATCTTTTATGTCCGCACACTGCTGCACACACACGCTGTGTCAAACAACTTTATCCTCTATGCTGCAAGAACATTGCAATAAGCATAAATGTCCACATTTATTTATATGTGTATTTTGTGCTTATAGAGAACTAGATCCTTGTACTGTACAGTGTGGGCCTGCCTGAGCTTCAAGTGTCCTTACAGAGTGTCCTTATGATTCCATTCAATTTGTTGACTTGACTGTATAAACAAAGATTTCAAGGGCCGGCCTCCAAGTGCGGGAGCTGTGAAAGCTTTTTCAATGTCTGCTTTTTAATGGAAGGCTTTTAGGACACTTGATTCATTAGGCCCCAAACACTTGATGCAACTTTCCCCTTAGCTAAGTCTTTTGTCTCAGCCTCATTCTTCCTCTCGCTGCCCACTCACAAACACACACATGCTGTGGCTGTGTTTGGAGCAAAGTGACACTCAGATGCTTCATCTAAATATTTGATGTCCTTTGTGAGAAGCATGGAAGTCAGTGAGCTCTCTCCAGTGTGTGGTCCACTCCAGTTCCCCACTCCTCACCAGCTGCTACCAAAGAAAATTAGGCGACATTCTGTGCCAGGCACGACTGTTTGGTATTCACATGATTCACTGGTCAGCCATTAATACCACAAACTAATCGGGCTGGTCGTTCAATCACTGTTCCTCTCTCCCTCGGCTCTGCCAATTGACTGAGACTGCACTGGTTGAATTCCAAGGCTCTGTGTGAAATAGATTTCACTTCCTGGCACTGCTCACATGTGTTTGATTTTCAGTTGAAAGGTCAATTGTAACATCTTTTAAACTTAATTTAAATACTGGCTGTCTGCTGCTGGAGAGTCATACAGGAGTCCATTAAGGTGCCTTCTAGGAGAATATTGATGTTAAAGGGGGCTTATTATACTCCTTTGGGGTTCATACTGGCATTTTGGGTCTATGCTTGAACATGTTTTCATACTTTAAAGTTCAAAAAACACTTTCTGTACTGGGACACCTCTTCACCCTCTGTCTAAGATGCTCTATATTAGCGCCTGTCTCTTTAAGCTCCCCTCCCGAAAAAGTCTGCACTGATTGGTGTTTCAAGGTCTTCCATATCTCAGCATCTCTGCACCAAGCCCCCAGGAACAGCTCCAGTCTCTGAAGACAATTTTACATCGTGGCCAAATGTGAAATTACAATGACCGCGTCCGTCACATGATGCCATGTGGTCCAAAATGACTTTTCCCCATAGACTTACATTGGGAAAGAGACTTCTGTAAATCAGTAGGCCTTGATACATTTTTTTAGCGTCACAAACCCCGTGAAATGACTCATTTCACTATCAGGATTCAATTCATTTGGTCTGATAACATTTCAAATTTCTAGAAGGGCACTATTAAATAATTATTAAATAAAATAATAGTCAAATAATAATTAAATTAAATAATATTTTTTTCCTATTCAAGGTAGTGGAGGGCATAACTTGAAGTTAGCCGCACAGCCAGGGTAAGTCTCTGGGGTGCTTGCTCCATGGGTCCCACAGTATGGAAGATCTGGGTAATTTCACACCACGGAAAGTGAGCTTTTTTGGCTTCATGTGCCACTTAGCAACTTTCATAGGAATGAACTTGCTTTCAGCTACAGCACTGTATGCAGCCATTTGAGGGATCATTGCAGGAATTACTGTAAATAAGAATTGCAGCACTTTCTACTGTGAAAAATCACTTATAAATGTTTCAAAACACAGCCAGACATGTTCCAGTAGTAATATGATCCAAATCTCCAACCAAGATCACACTTTTCACTATCATTAGCATGTAGCTATATGTAGCAGTGTACTTGCAGCTGCGGATTTACTATGTGTAGTGGCACTTTTTACTGTGAAAAATTACCAAAAAAGCTTCTGGACACAACCAGACATGTTCCAGCAGTAATATGTTTTGAAATCAGGGGGGAAATTAAGTACATCTTACACTTTACACGAACATTAGCATGTAGCTACATGTAGCAGTGTAGGCAACGCAATGTAAACACTTGCAGTAATAAACAGTCTGAAGTCTAAGATTTTATGCTAACAAGGATTACTTTTTTGGCTGTGTTAACATTTTGTATCTATATGTATATATATATATATATATATATATATATGTATAGCATAATAGGTCCCCTTTAATGTCAGTGCTCTGATATGCACAGGTGTGGTCTCAGGAGAGTGAAAATGCTTCACATCAATATTCCACCCATATCTATTTTAAACACTGCCACAGGGTTTAATTTTTGAAGGAATCTAATCAGACACATAGCCATGTGTCCATGATGTTTTTAATTAGATAAGGACGACAGGGAGCTTGCTCTGATAACAGATGCTCCCTGAGATCCACCAGCAGCAAATTCCTCACAAAGATGGATATCACAAACCAGGAACAGGAAAACAGGGCCAGAGGATTTAGAGGAAAGGAAGCATGGACTTTTTCCCTGGCTCCCAACAAATGTGCTGTGGTCGATTGCCAAGGCTGGCAGAAATGTGATTGGTGGAGCAGATGAGATGCCTGAACAGCAATCAGCAGCCAATAGTGTCACTCTTTGTTGAGAGCTGTTTGATCTCTCGGGGCTGTTGATGCTTCGGGAGCCTTTTCTGTGATGGAAGTGCACAGGTAAACCTCTTCTTTTCTAAGATGAGTGCAGAAGACAATATCTGAGTGCAGAGATATAAAGACTTAAAATAATACTCTACACCATGTTTTTGGGAGATTGGCCCACTTGTCACCTTGCCCAATGTGTGACAAGAACATCACCATTCTTCCATGTGTCCCCTTTCGATTCTTGAACCAATCTTCACTCGATGTGAGCACTTAAACACACACACAGCTGGTCGAGTGATAAAAGGTGACTGGAATTGCCTACAGTGCGAAAATGAGAACTTGTCACGGCTCCAAAACTAAATGACAAGTTACTGTACACCATACAGTTTGTGGCCAAGTCGGGCTGTTTTCTGAAGGAGATATTTCACTCTGGTGCTTCATGCTAACACTTGAACACACAGTATGTTGAGTGATGGCAGTTGTATCCAAAGTGTTGGTGTTGTCTACTCTTTTATTAAATAATCAGGAGAAGATGCTGCAGGCACACATGAGGGAGAATGAAACGGGTCCCTGACTGAAAATTAACCAGAGAGATGCAGTTACATGTTATTAGAGCTGAACGATGATTCACTATCATCATTTACTGTCTCCTGGTAAATTATATTGTGATGATATGCAGGCGTTGTTTTATATTCTCCAAAATTCTGCTGTGCAATTTCTATAAATCCAAGAAAATTGAAAGTTTTTATCCAAACTGTGTTGTCTGATGTTATGCAAAACTGCCTATTGCAACACTGGATTTAATAACAGTTTTGTGCGTGATTTTGCTCTGTAATGATACACAAAAATATCTAGAAAAAACAAGATTAAGAGCCCAGAGCCATGCTAGCAGCTCTGTGAGGCTGTACTTTGGCACAATGGTGCTGTGAGCTAAATGCTAATGTGAGTATGCTAACATGCTGATGTGTGGTGGGTAATGTATAATGTTTACCATGTGAACTCTCTTAGATACTCTCAAGATTAGTTCCTGCATGCTGTCATTTGCTAATTAGTATAAACATGAAGTGCAAATTAGGCGAATGGGAATTACATCAAAAGGTTTTGATCTGTTGATGGCACTAGAATAAAAGTTATGGGATCATCAAAGTTATTAGAATTCATCCTGGGGAAACCTGAATATTTGTATCAAATTTCATGGTAATCCATTTGATAGCTAAGACATTTAATTCATACCCATAAATGTCATCCTCATGTCCGTCAGGCTGTTCTCATAAACTGTTTGTACGTATACCAACAAAAAGTAATGTACCAAAATTATCATATCGTTATATCCCACATAATCATGGGCCAGTAATTCATGTATAACCCACATAGTTGGGAAGGCTGCGATCATGTGATCAATTCACTGACAGGAGTAAAAAGTCCCCAGTAGTAGGGAGGTTGTGGTGGTGGATGGGTCACAAAACATGGCCACGTCAGAGCCATGTGAAACCAGCTTTGAGTCATTTTAAGGTACATCGTTACCTTTCCTAAACCTAACCAACAGAACTTTGCCTAAACCTAAAAACACCCAACCATGTTTCTTTTTATGAACCAAACCAAAGGACCTTTACTGGCCTAAACCTAACCTACCTAACTTTACATTAAGTACATAATGTCATTCATTGGTTACTAACTCATAAGACTTAGTAAGATATCACATGAACCACTGTATGAGGATACGTTGCCTTCCAACACAAGGTATTCTTAAACGGTGGTTCAAATGATATCTTACGAAAACAACACCTCACTCGGACCTTGTGATATATCGACATTTGGTCATAGAACTTCCACGTCCAGATACGACATTACTCATTGTGCGTTGGTTATTGATGTTCTGGGACACCATATCAAGTTAAGGCCACTGCCTTTTTTTTTTTCAAAATAAGCACCTTACGTCAG